GGAATTTCCCAAAAACTCAGTGAATTCAAAGTTCTGAATCTAGGCCTGTTAAAGATTCTTCCAAATTTCCAAAGTGATTGGAAGCTTGACAGTCGAGATCTAGACCCTTGAAAATGCCCAAAAATCAACTGAAAATATGTTTTTGTACATTTTATTGACCAGTACAGTATCTAGAATTGTAGACTCTAGGAAGCTGGGAATGTTTCAAACTCTGTTCCCTCTTGATGCTCAGAATAGCCCAAAATACATACAGCTGACGGCGATGGCCTGGCTTCGAGCGATCCATATGAGCAAACAACGACGCCGATGGAGATCTCTACAGGTGTTCAGATTCTAGGGAACCTTCTAGAACCTTGAATCCTTCTAGAAACAATGCTAACCCAGATGGAATCAGAGATCAGCGTGCTGATTCAGTCCAGCTCCTCAAGATCATCATCATAACCAATTTAGTCATTTACTTTTTTTTAACACATGTTTCTTTCTCTCTCCCTCGATATCTCTATTTGTGTGTGACCAACCCTAAAAAACATACACACAATCACATGTTCTCTTTCCTCCACCTCCTCCTTCTCCGATGGTTTCACTTCGTTCTCCGAGACCGCCCGTTGGTTTCTCCGCCGCGCATAAGCACACACAAATAGTGAAACGAACAGACGAAACGAGGCGGCTCGTGATTTTAGTGAAAAAATGACGATGCTTCTGTGTTTGAGCTCTTTTTCTTGTCCTTACCCTTGCTCATTTCTTGGCCTAGAACGAGACTGTTTCAGGCCCTGGAATCGCTGGTTTTATGCAAATTTTGCATTTCAAATTCTGTTTCCAAATCGAAAACAACGACGATGTCTAGATTTTAATCGCTTGTTTTTGTCGTTGAACGGCTTCTGAATTCTGAATTCTCTATACCAAAGTACTTCCCTTTCTATATCGATCGATCGGAGAAGGGAAAAAAATGCTTCGCCTTCGCTGCTCATTCATTTCCACTTTTTCTGTTTTTCTCTGCTCCTCCGCCCAATCCATACTCTCTCGCTCATTTCCACATTTTTCTATTTGTCCAACTGATTGATGTGTGTATGGGATGGAGAGAAGAAGAAGAAGCGAACTTTGTCATTCTCATGTGCTCTAGAGGCTGTGCTCAAGAGCTTGTGCGTCACATCCTAGCGCCACCAGGTTTTTGCCTCGAAATCAGTACATAGCTTTTTGGTTTTTCGTGGTCTATCCTCTGTCTTAGACTCAAGTTTCAATTGAATCTTGAAATGTTCAATTCAATCGATCACTATCCAAATGAAGGTCTCCTCTCAACAACCTTCCGAATCTTTTATAGCTTTCCGATCGCCGATAACGATGTGTATGTTCAAGTTGATTGATTGATTTGGGCGACTGGATCATGAATTCCGATTACGACGGAATCTAGCTAATTGGAAGTTTAATTGAACGGGAATTCGCTAACATTTAGCTGTTTTTAGGACTGCAAACTACCGTAAAACCTGTAATAGAAGGTCGTCCTAGCTGTTGACTTTAAGCTCAATTATCTCGATTTCTGTCAAAGTTATAGAAAAGTTGCCAACTGATAAATTGTTTATCATAATATCACCTATATTTTATCAGTTGACAGATTTTTGATATCTGTGACAGGAATCGAGATAATTGAGCTCAAAGTTGACGAGTTGGTTGAGCTATTATTAGAGGGGATACGGTAGGTCTGAAACTCGGTCTGAGTTAGGCTAATCCTCTAGAAAAAATCATATATTTTTGAACTGAAAAAAAATAATTAAATTAGGCTCCGCCCCTTTTAGGGTTCTCAAAATGGAGAAAAAATCACTTCTTAATGTCCGAAACTCGCCTAAAATCAGCTAAAATCCTTAACAAAATTAGGCTCCGCCCACTTTCAAGGGTCCGAAGTTTTGAAAAATCGCTGATTTTTGAGCTAAAAATCAGGCTGCGCCTTGACACAGCTCTCATTTCGAGACTTAAAATTCAAGTTTTTTATTCCTCTTATCCCTAACACTCGCCCGATTTCTATATACTTCCTCCTATTTTCGCCGAAGTGATGTCAAGAATGTTTCAATTGAAATTGCCTTCTTCTTATCACCACCCAATTGATTATCCCCCTCCCTTCTTCTTCGTCGTCTTCTTCTCCCCCAAACGACAAGGTTGTGTCAATTCTCGAGACATCAACATTGTGTCGATTGGCGATTAATTCGAATTGAAATGTCAATGCTGCTATTCAAGAATACAGTATACCCACTCGCTGAAATTGTTTCCTTTTGTTCGCTTCTGTCTCTCTTCTCCCACGCATTAGATTCTTTTGTGGCGATGGCTGGCTGGCAAAAAAACTGCAATAACAAAAAAAACGCCTCCAGGATTCTCGCCACCACCCCTCTTATCAAATAGTTCGTCGCTGAAAAGTTCCGGTTTTCGATTCCCGTTTCTCCCCCTTTGTCTTGTTTCCTCGAGATGAATGCGACAGCTTTACCGAGAACAGCTTCTAGATTAGACGGGTTCTCTACGATAGAGATAACCTGCAGATCTTACTACTGTAGGAAAAAGTGCATAGGGCTTATTTTCGGTTGACAGAACACTCGGTGCAATGCGATTAGCATGACGTGCCCAAATTTGTGGAAATGGTTACTGTAGATTACTGGGTGGATCGAGAGAAGCTGGATTACTGTAGCTAGTCAATTCCTCGTGGCCTCTCCAATAAGCCTTGCATGTAGGAGCTTTTATTAAATAGGTTCTAGAAGGATTACTGTAGAAAAAGCATTTATTTTCGGTAGATTCGATTATCATTGAAAAGGGTTACTGTAGATTACTGTAGGAAGCTAGGGTTACTGTAGCAAGTAGGCAAGGCTTTGCATATAGTAGTAAAATCTATCTCTTTTCGCCATTTATCAAGATGACCCCAATTAGTCGGCACCTCCTTCTTCTTCCTCTTCCTTCGACGTCGCCTTCAGAAGACGTCGTATCGCTTCCGACGATCTTTGTCGACATGATCATCATCATCATTCCCCGCTACTACTACTACTCTATTACTAATCTCCGCAATACGTATAACTTCTGTACAACGCCGAGAGAAAGAGAGAAAGAGAGGACGCAGAGAAAACGAGAAAAAAAATGTATAGCAATCCGAAATGTTTGATGCGTTGGCGTCACGGTGATGTAGTGTTGGTGTTGTCTGCGCTTCTCTGATTGATTCCGCTCCCCCACCTCCTCTTGCAGTTCTTCTTCTTTTTCTTCGTTTTTTTTTTCGCCGTCCCCCTCCTCTCCCTCCTCCACTGATCGTGCTGTGTTGGAGAGAGAGAGAGGCGCCTCCGCGTCAATCAGTTATTGATTTTCGACTTTTAGGCTCCGCCCCATCTCTTTCAGTTGCCGTTTCCCCCCAAACAGCTTCTAAATCATTCTTTTCCAGGTTCGAGAGGAAGGGAGACGATCTGTACACCAATGTGACAATCTCCCTCCAGGACGCGCTCAACGGCTTTGAGATGGAAATTCTGCACCTGGATGGGCATATGGTCAAGGTTCAACGTGATAAGGTTGGTTTTTTCTTGGAATTGAAGAAAGATAGCTGGCGTGTCTTTGGCGCGTTTTTACGAGTCAGCTGCTGACTACAGTAGGGTGTTGCTTCTAGATCGGAGACTGATAGCTGGCGTGCCTTAGGCGTGTCTGGTGATTTTTCGGTTTCTTTAAAAATTGAAAAACCTGGCTAGTTACTGTACGCTGTGAAAGACAAGTGTACCTTTGGCGCGTTTTTTTTTCTGTACGAGTCAGATGTTTTCGCTACAGTAGGGTGTCGTTTTTCGTTCATTTCATCACATAATACTTCACAAAGAAGCCACGTCATTCTTGTGATCATTGTGATGTGAACACAAATGTCGCAGCACAGGATGGTTGTTTTTTGAACACACACCAATCACCAAAGAATGTACAGAGAGCCTTGTTGAACAATAACAAAAAAAGAAAAAGTCAATGAGTAATTTTTGAGAAAAAAAGTTGAAAAACCTCAAAAAATCGCATGAAAAAACCATTTCTGGAAACTTCTGGAATGTTCTAGAACTTCAAAATTTGAAAGTTTGAGCAATGTTGAGCTTCTTAACCGATTGTTGAGGCAACAGGACGATGTGGAACTGGCCATTTCGCAACCCTGACGCTTTAGAACCGTTTTGGACAAGGCTGTCGAATCAGGGCCGCGGCTTTTTTCGTTCAAGTACGGCCTCAATCACGGCCGGCCACGGCCATGATCCCGATAGCCTTGGTTCTAACCAAGTTTACCCCAAAAGAGGTGGTCTAGAACTTTTTGTTTTGGCGGGAATTCAAAAACAATTCCAGAAGTTTCCAGAAGTAGCCATTTAGAGCCATTTTTCGAGATTTCAAATTTAAAAATATTGTTTCTTTGAAGTTATACGAATCTACACACTTTGATGTATTAAAAAGCAATTTAAAAAATATAAAAGCTGCTTTTTTATACTAATTTCCCCGTCCTTTTCCAGGTAACCTGGCCAGGAGCCCGTTTACGCAAGAAGGACGAAGGCATGCCATCGATGGAGAACAACAACAAGAAGGGCATGCTCATCGTCACATTCGACGTGGAATTCCCGAAAACCGAGCTCACCGACGAGCAGAAGGCCCAAATCATTGAGATTCTACAACAGCAGGGAATCAAGCCGCGCGCCTACAACGGCCTCTAGACTTTGGGATAGATCAAAACCTTTGTGTAGAAGTCGATATATACCAACCAAATTGCCTAGATCTTTTTTTCGGAAAATTTTTTGAAAATTTCATCCTTCTCTTCTCATTTTTCCTTTCCAATATTTTCCCCTTTCTTTTTTCCCATCCCCAAAAAAGATCTCCGGATCAAATCCTCTCCATTTCGTCTTCCCAAAACCCCGCACACCCCCGAATCTGAATCGTCTTCTAGCAGAATGCTGATCTCTTTTGGTCATCCATCTCCACCACATTTCTCATCCAGAAATCTTCAGAATTCGAACAACATCGTCTCTTTTTACCTTATTTTTATTTAGCGTTTGGGTTTTCTGATTGGCAAATTTTGAAATTTTCTGGATATTGAGGATCCCTTAAATTTCAAAATCCCAAAAAGAAAACCCAACGCTTGGCCAGCACTCGGTAGTAGTAAGCTGTAGTAGGGAATTCAAATTTCCGGCTTCTCGAAGCTTCTATTCTACCGATCACGGAGATAATCCAGTGTTGAGTCGAAACTGATCTTCAACTCAAATGGTCCAAACCAGACCGCCCATGTTTAAATATGTTAATCACCCCCTTCTTCTTGTTAATCACGTCAGAGTTTTTCCATATTTTACTTTTTTTCTGCTCGATTTCTCTATGTTTTTCCTAACAGGTCTTGTCAACCTTCTCTCTCTTTCTCTGCGTCTCTCTTCCCAACCACAGACTCTCGCAACCAACAAACACTCAACAAAAACTCGTCCCCATGAAAATCCAAAGTTTAGTTTTTTTTTTTAATTTTTGCTCCATTTCCTCTTTTTGGGTATATCCTTTTTGGTGGCCTTTTTCTCTCTATAAATCTCTCAAAAAATCTAGTTTTCTCCTCTCTCTGTCCCTCTCGTTTCTTTTGTATCTGTGATAGATCCCTTCTATTTTTTTATTGCTCCGTGTATCCCACATCCCGAAACAAAAGGCTCAATTTCTTTTTTGATTTTTGTAATGTAAATTTTGTTTCTCTATATCAACAATAAGAGTGCCTTCGCCTTGCCTTTTTTAAAAGTAAAAATTAAATAAATGGGAGATACTAAAAATTGGTTTTTTTTTGAGTTGGAATTTAGGAGTTGACAGAAAATAGGAACTTCGAAGCAAACTCGCTCCATTGAGAAAAAGAAAGAAACGTTTAGCCCTTCTAAAGCCAGAATGAATGGGAAACCAGCAAGTGCGCCCCAATGAGAAACGGCATATTTCCGTATGATTTAGGCTTTCAGGTCAAATTTTTTGTTGAAATTTCAGAATAGGTCTCTTGACTGATTTTCAGAAAAAATTAACTTTCAATTCAACTATAAAGACCAACCGCGCCGCGTCGTGCTGCGACGCGGTCCAATGGTAAAGTGCCTACAACAGTACTTAAAATTTTTTCAAATTTTTCAAATAGTGTCCCATTAAAACAAGCGAATTATAAACTTCATTTTTCTAATTGACAACTTTTTTGTAAAACTTTTTTCAAAAGATAAATGACGCACTGAAGATACCGAACTTTAAACTCTATTATCTCGATGCCTGTAAGAGATATCAAAAATCTGTCAACTGATAAAATGTTTGGGATTTTATGATAAACATTTTATTAATTGACAAAGTTTTGATATCTTTTATAGGAACTGAGATATACTGGCTCAAAGTTGCAAGTTACGTGTGAATGCTGCTCAAGCCGCCGGGCTAGAGGGCGCCGAAAAGCTTCAGCGGCGGCTCTTAATGTCTGTCAACTTTGAGTTTAATTATCTCGGTTCCTATGAGAGATAGCAAGAATTTGTCAACTAATAAAATGTTTTTCATAGTATCACCAACATTTTATTAATTGACAAAATTTTGATATCTTCTACAATCTTGTTTGTCTTATACCAATTTTTCAAAACGAAAAGAATGGAGCTAAATAAGTTCATTCAAGTTAGAAAACATTCGGTCCCGGAGGATAGTATTCACTTATTCTCCTACTTGCTCTCCCTCTCCCTCGGACGACCTGAACGTCTCCATCTTGCCACGAGTCCTTGCAATCTTCCGAACATCTCAAAAAGCGCATCCACACGTGTCTTCTCTTCAATGCACATCGAGACTCGAACATTTCCACTGGAGCCCACATGCTCTGTGAAGGCGATTTGCTTTTTAGAGTGAAAATCCACACAGAGCACCTTGCGTGGTGGAAACCCGAACTGTAGTTTGTAGTAGCTCGTTAGCGCCCAGGTTCTTATGTTGCTCTTGTATTCCTTGAAGGTTTTGGAGTAGATTTCGAAGGTGACGACTCCTTGCTCACGCTTTGCGGACTTCCAGAGCTGTAAAATTTTGAAATGGCACAAAGAAAAGAAAACGTCAACTTTGAGCTCGATTATCTCAATTCCTGTGGAAGATACCAAAAATTTGTCAACTGATAGAATATTTATCATAAAATCACCCATATTTTATCAGTTGAACTATTTGCGATGTCTCTTACACAACTTGAGATAATTGAGCTCAAAATGCAGGGTGTTCTTCTATTAGTGTGCTCGAGGAAGTGGCCTGGAACTTACATCATAGAGTCCCTTGAGATCCGCCACTGGTGGGGTGAAGTCTTGAAGGAACACGAATGCATTCTTCAACGATCTCAGTACGTTATACGGTACCGGTCCATATGTGGTGACCCCACGGCTATCAGCAAGCTGAAAATGATAGTAGAAGGGCCCTTGACTTTTAACTTTGAGCTCAATTATCTCAATTTCTATTAAAAATATCAAAATCTTGTCAACTAATAAAATGAAACTTATATTAAGATAAACATTTTATCAATTGACAAATTTTTTATATCTTTAACATGCGTCGAGATAATTAAGCTTAAAGGGGGACTCCGGTCAAATTTTTTATTGCATTAAAATGTGTTAAAAGTTATCTATTTTCCTAATATTATTGCGAAATTTTTTTTTCAAAAATCCGAAATCCCCGAAAAACGCCGTTGAAAAGGAAAAAATTAAAAAAAAAAAGGTGCCGCCGAGGAACGAGGATTTTCAGTGAAAAACCTAGGCCACGCGTGCGGCGCGACTTTCTTACCGGACAATTTTTCCGGATTTTTTTCGCTTTTATCTCCGACAGGTAAAAAACGTTAAAAAACACTGTCGGCCACTTGAAAATAATGCTATCAGGCGCCGTGGCCTAGGTTTCTCACTGCGCGGGAATTCAAATCCTCGTCCCTCGGCGGCACCTTTTTTGAATTTTTTTCATTTTCAACGGCGTTTTTCGGGGATTTCGGATTTCTTTCGAATTTTTTCGCAATAATATTCAAAAAATAGATAACTTTTGAAACATTTTAATACAAAAAAAAATTTGGTCGGATTCCCCCTTTAAAGTTAAAAATGCTCCTAGTAGAGGATATACTCACAATTGGAACTCTAAAGAGCTTTTCCGATGGTGTGCTCCGATAGTTCAAGAATTTTGGTTTTCCAGAACACTGTCTGAAATAGTCCCACGATTCCTCATCATCCACATCGCAAACCAACACCGATGTGACTTCGATAGGTAGTAGATATTTGAGAATTCGAGGTTTATGAAAAAGTTATAATTGAGGTACAGAATTTCCATCATTTTCAGGAGTCTGGAGCCTGGCTGTCCTGGTTTCAATCACTTAGAAAACTTCAGGAGGTGTAAAACAGATCTAGATTGAAAACTTTGCTCCTAGTTCTTCCGCTATCTGCCGATTTCTGAGAGATACAGTAATCCGGAAATTCCAATTAATTCAGTCCAAAAACCAACTTTCTAGTTCATCTCGGAGCTGAAATAGACCTTTCACAAAATATCGAGCCTAGAGCCGCAGACGACGAGACACGCTGCGTCTCTAACTTCTCTGAAGAGACGCAGACACTCGAAACTTCAAGTAGCAATATCTCGGCTCCCAGGTGTCCTAGAAATGTGGTTTTTTGTCAGAATTTGTTGTAATTTTTTGCTTTTTATTTTAGAATGCTCTTTAAATTTTTTTTTAATAACTTGGAATGCTTAAATTTTCTGAAACTCGACTTCTAGCTTTTTACAGTAATCTAGGCTGGAGGATAGATTTTTGGACGGTGTGTGGATGGGGACATTTATCATTAAAAAAAAGCCAAGTACAACAATAAATCCAATTAACGACGCTAATAAGGGGGGGGGGGGCGGTTCTGCTGGGACACCCGCATTTTGACGCCAAATTCAAAATACTTGAGAACCAAAACGGGTGTCTTTTAAAAATCGACAGATAACTGAAAAACCAGGGATTAAAAAAAATTATGTGATTACAAAGTTTTCTATCTTGGTCTGTTTTACATTCTCCAAAATTTTCAAAGTGATCGGAAACTTGACAGACGAGCTTCAGTCTCCTGAAAATGACCCAAAATCAACTAAAAAATACGTTTTTGGATACCTTATTGAAAGAAACTGTATCCCATTTCCTGTGAAAGCTATCAAAAAATGGTCAACCGATAAAATGATTGTCATAATATCACCAACATTTTATTAGTTAACAGAATTCTGATATTTCTCACAGGAAACGAGATAAATGACCGGTACGATCGGGATGTCCTTACCCAAGCAACGAACTCCGTCACTTTCTGCCCCGATGAGATCAAAACCGACGCCAACGCTTGGAACGTTTCCTCAGAGAATGCAAACGTTGAAACAATTTTCCCTAGCGCCTGAACCTCAATGTTCTCATCTTTGATCTCCACAATCAGCTGGTCCTTGTTAATCAGAATTTTGGCTCCCTCAATAGAGACTTTTTTGAGTCTAAGCGGAATGTGTGCTTTGATTGGTCGCAGCTCTGGATGCTGAACTAGCGGGTCCATTTGGACAGCTGAAATATATTAAATTTTGGAATTCCGAATAAAGGAGAGCAAAAAAAAAACACCAAATTAGGTAAATAAGCAGGTGCTAAAGCAGGTGGCATGCCCTCGTGTGTTCAGCATCCATGAGAAATCTCCATAGAAACGGAATGACAACAAAAAAATGCATTTGAATCGGAAGAGATTTGTGTGGGAAGATTTGAAGGCATCAACAACAAACCTTTTTTGTTGGGGCGTGGGATAATGATAAGGATTGTGGGAGTGGAAAGGGATCAGGGATCACTTCACTTTGAGTCCATCTATCTCATTTCCGGTAAATGACGTCAAAAAGTAGTCAACTGATAAAACGCTGGTGATATTATGATAAACATTTTATCAGTTGACAAATTTTTAATATCTATTTTAGGAAGTGAGATAAATGAGCTCAAAGTGAAATTGTAGGGTGGCCTTCTGTTAGAATGTTTATTGTAACTTGGTTTGTCTTCCCTACTCTTTATCTCGGTTTCTGTAAAAGATATAAAAAATTGTTAACTAATAAAATGTTGGTGTTATTATGATGAACAATTTATCAGTTGACCACTTTTTGATATCTTCCACAGGAATTGAGAAAATTGAGCTCAAAGTTTGTTTTCTTTCTTGCTTCATATCTCGTTTGGGATAAATTTTACAAAAAAGTTGTCAACTAGAAAAACGAAGCTCATAAGTTATTTGTTGTAAAAAAGACATTGTACTATTTCAGCCACTCCAAAATCAGACCAAGTTTTTATCTGAACAGAAAGAAAAAAAAAGAAAATAGCTCCTCATTTAGATAACGTCTTCTTGTCCCCTCTCAAATTTGCCACGAATCCTTGAAGCTTCCCGAACATCTCCACTACCGTATCCATCATTGTCTTATCATCAATGCACATGATAACTAGTGCATCCCCATTTGCTTTCACATTCTCCTCCGTGAAAACAATCTGTTTGTCAGAATGGAAATCCACACAGAACACTTTGCTTGGTGGGAACCCGAATTGCGGCTTATGGTAGCTGTGTGGGGCCCACGTTTTGATATTTGTCTTGTAGTCCTCAAAGGTCTTCAAGTTGATCTCAAAGCCAATAGCCCGTTGCTCATGTGAAGTGGCTTTCCAATGCTGGAAATATTTTAAGAAATATTTTAAAGATATGAGTAAGCTGTCAACTGATAAATTGTATGTCATAAAATCACCAACATGATATCAGTTGACACATTTTTGACATATTGCGCTAGAATCAAGTTAATTGACTCTCAAAGTTGACAGTTTGGGTGGGCTTCTGTTAGAGGAAATGGAATCGATTACGGTGAATTCAAGTCTGGGTTATTGGTTGTTGGCTCAAACTTGACATTGTTAGGGCCCTTGTATTAGAGGTTTTACGGAAATTTGAAAACATTAATAGCTATTTTTTGATGTTTTTTCGATTGTCTTCTAGAAAATCAAACTGCCAATCTTCTCACTTACCTCATAGAGTCTTTTGAGATCCGCCACTGGTGGTGTATAGCATTTGAGATAGACGTATACGTTCTTCAGAGATCTGAGCACATCAAACGGCACCGGACCATACAGAGTGATACCCAGACTATTGGCAATCTAGAAATATATGATTCCACAGAATTTTTTTGTTGAACTCTCACAATTGGGACTTCCCATAGCTTTTCGGAAATCGCACACCGATAGTTCAAGAACACTGGTTTTCCAGAACATTTTCTAAGGAAATCCCACGACTCTTCATCCTCTACATCACGAATCACAAGGGACATTGTTACTTCAATTGGTGGAAGATGTTTCAGTAGATTTGGTTTCTGAAATGATAATAATAATTTTTGCCATAGTTTTTTTTAGAAGTAATATTTTTAAACTAACTACACTGGATACAATAGAAAAACGCAAGAGCTACAAAACGATACTATTTGGAAAATTGTATCTTGTCTATGAACAAACTTGCAAGGCCATAAAGCTAGTACCTCAGTTTTTAACCTGTAACTTTGTTCATAAACCAGGTACAGCATTCCAAATAGTATCATTTTGTAGCTCTTGAGTTCTTCTATTCTATCTGTTTTAGTCAATTTTGAAATATTGATTCTAAAAGAATTTAATGTCATACTTACCATTGCAATAAACGTCTCCACTTTCTGCCCGGATTTGATAAAAAGGGTTGTTAGCAAATTCAAGTTTTCTTCGGAAAATTCCAAATGGCCAATGACTTTTCCTTGGGACCGAACCTCGATTTTGTCATTGATAATGCCCACAACAACTTTATCATCATTGATAAAAATTGTCGTATCATCCAACGAAATGTCTGTTATATGCAATGGAATAAGTGCTGGGAATTGGTCGAGATAATCCATTGTATTAAAATCCATAGTAGTAAATTGTAATTTTACAAAAAAGAAATAAATTCAAATCAGCAAGTGGAGTTGTGTTTTATAAGCGCTAGAATATATAAGAGTCTCTATGGAAACCAAAGAAAAACATCTAGAAGCGGAAACAAAGGATTAGTGGGGAGGATGATTATAGAGGGATGTGGGAGTGGGAGTTATAAAGGATCATGAAGCAAACTTCAGGATTTTTAGAATATATTTTGAGAGAGAGAGAGAGAGAGAGAGAGAGAGAGAGAGGGAGAGAGAGAAAGAAGACAGGTAAGAATGGCCTAGAAATGGTCTAGCATGCTTCTGGTGTTTTCTAGGTCACTTTGATGTGATGGCCTAACTTTTGCAAGTTGAGCTTTCTAGGCCACCAGGTTAAATTGACCTAGAAAACACACCAGGTGAATATCACACCAATTCTAGGTAATTTTAATGTGGTGACCTAGAAAACTCAAATTGCAAAAGTTAGGCCACCATGGTTCTGAAATTGTTTTTTTTAATTCCCGCCAAAACTGAAAACTCCTAAATATTAGGGTTTTTTCTCCGATTTTTCGAAAGAAAAATTGATTTTTTTCCTCCAATTATCTGCAAAAATTTTTAGGCCTTTTCAGGTTTTTTTGAGCTATTTTCGAAGATTCTTTTTCGATTTTCCGGTTTTTTGTCGGAAATTTGATGGAACGGTGTTTGATTACTGTAGATTACTGTAGAAAGCGAATTTTCTCTTGTAGTTTTTTTCAAACACAATCACGTCAAAATTTTTGACCACAAACTACAAAATAGAACGATTTCTACAGTAATCTAAAGTAACCCTCGCGTACACCATCCCGTCAAATTGCAGACAAAAACTTCGGAAAAATCGAGAGAGAATCTTTGAAAATAGCTGGAAATCCTAAAAAGGTCTAAAAATTTTGCAAAAAAACGAAGAAAAAAAAATTTAGTTCTAAATTGTTCCACTTTTTCTGTTTCTATACATTTATTGAGGTAAAAAGTTAACACTGTACACAAAAGAATTCGAATCGAGGTCATTAAATTACATGTAAAACATTGTCTTTTTTCAAAGTTCAATCGCAAAAAATTATTTAGTCTTTACATTGAAAGTCTCAATGGCAGCACGAACTTCGTCGATGTTGGCGGCGTCTCCCCACTCCTTTTCCAGATGAGTGTAGACGATGTCGTTGTTGGCAATTAGGTAGACGCCTGAAAATCCGAATTCTAGCACTTTTTTCTAAAAACTTCCTATTTACCTCCCAGAAGTCTTCCTTCTCCCTCCATATTTCCTTCAACCTTCGCCTTCTTTGCCTTATAGACATTCGAGTAGGTTCCGAAACGAAGGAAGCCGACCCAATGGGGCAGCCAACGCTCGTTTGGTCCGTAGAACGTTCTCTCGGTGTCCAAATAGACGTCGCCTCCCGAGAAGTACGATTTGAATTCGTTGGCGCCACGGGATTCGTGCACAACGGCAGCCTGAAATTCTTAAACTGAATTTTGACTCAAATTCGAATACCTCCTACCAATCCGATTCCCTTCTCTTTGAGAAGTGGAAGTAAGGTGTGCAATTCGGCAGCCTCGCGACGGCAGAGCATGCATCCCGGGCGGCGCACAGCCATAACCATGATAGGTCCCTTTTGGAAGAGCTCGTTGGCCTGAAATCATTTTTTTTAGCTTTTGAAAAATTTCTTCACAAAATCTCACCGTAAACTGCTCGCTCTTATCAATAGTCTCGATTTCTCTGGGCCCTCCTTTGATTGGAATAAGCTTGGCTGTTGCCAAATGAGCGAATTTCGGAGCCACGGCTCCAATGGTCAGGTAGGTTGGAAGATTGGCGTAGATGAATGCACCGCCTAGAGCGGCGACAGCTCCGTAGCCGAGAAATGCCATTTTTCTTTTCTTTTTTCTGAAAGATTTCGTTCTTTAGAAAAGTTGCTTTGAGAGAAAAAATTCAGCGAGAAAAAAATGGAAAAAAGTTTTTAAAGGAACGTTATTGGATTTGGTCGGGTCTCGAAGCGAAGTTCGGTTACTGTAGCTTCGTGGCATTCTTCTTCAAAATTTTCAGATTTTTCTCTTGAGAAAAATTGAGCAACCAACCGAAAAAACGACTGACCGAAACTAATTTTTCAATAATTTTCATAATTTCACTCATTTTTTTCCGACTTAGATCGAAAAAACCATGAAATCGTCGAAAAATGGATAAAAGAGCGAGAAAATGTTTTTTTAGGGAACGTTATTATTTTTGGTTGGGTCTTGAAGCGAATCTCGGTTACGTCAGCTTTGTGGAATATATCTCTTGTCCGAAATCGACGATTTTCGCAGTTTTTAAAACAATTTTTATCATTTTTGTTCATTTTTTACCGATTTACATAGAAAAAAAACGATGAAAACATTGAGAAAATAGTAAAGTAATTTTTAAAATAATCTCAAAGTACGATAGTAGAGTATATTTTCAGATTTTTCACTGAAAATCGAGCAGCTACTCGAAAAACGACCTGCCAAAACTAACAAAAGTTGCAGAACTGAATGGTTGTCGAATCGTAAACAAAAAGTCTGAGGCGCCAGTGTGAGATAGCACTCGGAAACTAGAGGGGCCAGAGAAACAGAGAAAGGGACAACAAGGGAATGCTTGATCTCTGAGCCCTTCGAACGAACAACATGTTGATGTTTTCCTTTGTGAGGGTAATGTGATGCCTTAGGGGTTGACCAATAGCTGGAGAAAAAACATTTTGAATTTTATTCATTAAAGATTTGATCGAAATTTCGAATTTTAATAATTCTAAACCGGTAAATTATAAGCAAACAGACAAAAAAGCTAATAGAAATTCAAAGAAAAAAATTATATACAGAATCAACAAAGTATATTCGAGTCCAATTACTGATTCAATGGCGCTTGTCCCATTGGCTTGAGATTTTCAGAAACCGTGAACTCGCACGCTGTGGCCTTCTTGATGTCATCTACAGTAAGATCCTCTCGTACTTCAAGCAGTGTCAGCCCAGACTTCACATCCACATCAAACACAGCCATATCAGTGATAATTCTAGAGATGACTCCTTTTCCGGTCAATGGGAGTTCGCACGACTTCAGAATCTTGGGATCTCCATTCTTCGATGTGTGCTCCATGACAACGATGACACGAGCGCCGGGAGCGGAGACCAAGTCCATTGCACCGCCCATTCCCTTGACGAGTTTTCCCTAGAAAAATTGGTTCTGTGATCATTGAGAATTGACAACTTTTCGTTCTCTGTGTCTTGTTTGATAAGAGATAGGAGAGACACTCAACACACGTAGATCACAGATTAGAAAAAAACAACTTACTGGAATCATCCAATTAGCCAAATCTCCATATTGCGAGCATTGAAGGGCTCCTAGAACCGTAATATCCATATGTGATCCACGGATCATTGCGAAAGATTCATCAGATCCGACGATCGATGCTCCTTTGAGAAGAGTGATTGGCTCTTTTCCAGCGTTGATCAAATCAGCATCTTCTGTTCCTTTCTTGGGATATGGGCCCTGGAAAATTGTGCATTTGCGCGTCAGGTGTTTGCGTACGCCGCACACTTACCACTCCAATAATTCCGTTCTCACTCTGTAAATGAACTGTAATTCCATCGGGAATATAATTTGGCGCCAATGTCGGTATTCCGATTCCCAAATTAGCATACATTCCATCGGTGAACTCCAACGCCGCGCGAGCCGCAATGATTTCTCTGGATCGCCCGGCAGATGACGTGGCTGGTTTCACTGGTCCCTCTTGAGCGAACATCGGACGCTCAATGGGCTTCTTGTAGTCCTTTCCAAGTACCAAACGATGACAATAGATGGATGGAATGTGCACGTCGTTGGGCGCGATGACTCCTGGCTCGACGATTTCCTCGACTTCGACGATGGTGCATTTCGAGGCTTTGCACATTGGGTTGTTGAAGTTTCCAGCAGCGTGTCTGGAAATTTTGGGGGTTTTTAGTTAATTTTTTTTAATCTCGAAAAATCGCTTCAATAAGTTTATTTCTGGAAACTTCTGGAGGGTTTTGAATATTTTTTTGAATTCCCCCCAGAACTGAAACTCCGAAAATTTAGCGTTTTATTGCTTTAATTTTTCTCCGATTTTCTGCAAAATTTTCAGACCTTTTCAACTATTTTTAGAAATTCTTTTTCGATTTTTTCTTAATTTTCTGTCTGAAATTTGACTGAATTGTTAGTGAAGATTACTGTAGGAAGCCTACTATTCTATAGTTTTTTTTTGCAAACACAACCACGTCGAAATGCAGAAAAACTTACAAAAAGCAAGGTTTTTACAGTAAACTACAGTAATCTTTGCGAACACCTTTCCACCAAATTTCAGACAAAAAACTGAAAAAATCGAAAAAATAGCTGAAAATTTTGCAAAAAATCGGAGAAAAAAAAATCAATTTTTCTTTCGAAAAATCGCAAAAAAAAAACTATTTTTTCGAAATTTTCAGTTTTTCGCGGTAATTCAAAAAAAATTCCAGAACCTTCCAGAAGCTTCTAGAAATGGTCAGGAACTGAACTTTCTGCCATTTTTGCACCGATTTTTGGAATGTTTTCTTTGTTGAGTTATTCAAAACGCGCCAAACGACACACCAGCCAACCAACCTACCTAAACTGAATATTTCCCAATGTGTCTGCTCTCCAGGCTTTAATCAAAGCATAATCTCCCCAGATTGCCTCTTCCAGAACGTAATTCACCCCGTTGAACTGTCGAGTCTCCTTTGGCTTACTCGCAATTTCAATCTTCATTTTTTCGGTTTTGCTATACTTGATTGGTGCTCCTCCTTCCTGAAAATTCCTGATTTTTTCAGTCCTGAATTTCTAGAAAAACGTAAATATCGCTCGAAAATCCCCACCTGAATCTGTGTACCATAACCCGTCGGTGTGTAGAACGCTGGCACTCCGGCTCCAGCTGCTCTGATCCTTTCAGCTAGTGTTCCTTGTGGTGTGAACTCTAATTCCAGCTCTCCACTTAAATATTGCCGGGCGAACTCGCCGTTCTCGCCAACGTACGATGAGATCATTTTCTTGATTTGTCGAGTTTGAAGCAGCAAACCGAGGCCCCATTTGTCGACTCCAGCGTTGTTGGAGACGCATGTTAGGCCGGTTTGACCGGTTTTTGTTAAAGCTTGAATCAGGTTTTCTGGAATTCCGCAAAGACCGAATCCTCCAACTAGCAACTTTGCTCCACTTGGAATATCCTTGACAGCTTCCTCGGGCGACTCGTAAATCTTCGCCTTCAGTGAGGACGTCGTCGAGAGGAATCTGATGTGACGGGTGGCGGCTCTGGGGAGCAGAACCGAGTTGGATGGAGCCCAAATTTTCGAGAGAATCGTCATGTTTGGAAGTCTGAAAATTGGAGAAATCAGCGCTGAATATGTGTGAAAATGCAAAAAATCGAAGGGAATCGGCTTAATTTCTGCTCGGAGGAGAAACTGATTCATTTTTTTCGTCTAACCAGGAAATCAGTGATAACAATTTTCTCTTATCTAAGTGAGCAGAACACAGAGAATGATTCAAAAATGAGACATTAACAACTTGGAAGATGGGTTTTACAACGACATGCGCCTTTAAATCTAGCGATTTTTCAGATTTTTTAGGATTTTCGAAATATCTGGGTGAAAAATTAACATCGAAAAACCTTTAAAAAACACTAGTAAATCCAAAAAAAAACAAAGATTTTTTGTGTTCTACTACATGAGCCTTTAAATCTACCGTAATGGGTCATACCACGATTTAATTAACACTACGTGTCGTGAAGTGAGACTTCAAGTGACATAAATTCGCTAAAAAACTAAAGAACAAATTGGAAATCAAGGTGAAATGACGATAGACAAAATTAGCTGTGTAGTCAATTGGTCTTTTTTTTGCCATTTTGTAATCAATTCAACACATTTTTTGGGAAACAAAGAATTAAAAATGTTTGTAAACCTAAAACTTTTCGGTCTCAGCTCACTCAAAAGTTTGCTAGACTCTCGCTGTGTAAACAGAGCCAAGACCTTTTTTTTTCTCAGAATTCAACATATGGATCCTCTAGAAAATTCGAAAAAACAGCCGAAATCTATTCGAATTGCCAAAAAAATCTGAAAAATTCAACTACAAAATGTGTAGCAGTCAGTCGCAGAACCGAAAAAAGAGAGAATAGTCAGTAGTCTATGTACACACACACAAAACTTTTCGCATTTTTTTTCTTCTTCTATGTTTCATTTCTCTTTCTTCGAGAGATTAGGAGACGCAGACAGAGCTACTGGGTAGAAGAACTGAAGTGCGAGTGGGAAACACGTGGTTTCCGAGAGAGAGAAGTGAAAAAATATATAGGTGGAAACCTGGGGAAGTTTGACGTTTGAAGTGTGATCTTAGTGATAGGAGAGAAGAACAGGCGGTCAGGACACAAACGTCATAAGAAGAAGCAAAATCAACGAAATTTTATTCTTTAAAAAAAGTCAAAATGCGTTCAAATATATCGAGAATAAACATAGCATGCAATAGGGATAGTTACAACAGCTGGAATCCAGAATTTCAAATTTTTTGAACATCCATCATCCTTCCTATGAACTTTCGGACAGATCAACTCCTCCAGATCCTCAGTTTCCAACAGCAAGATCTTCATATTGGCACGAATTGATCGAATCATGCGGTGCAGGTTCTCGACGTTTCTAGAATCTTCGAATCCCATATCACGACGATTCTCGCTGGTATAGCTGTTGATGCGGAGGCTGGAAAATGTATCAGATTAGTGAATCCGCATGATTTCTAACCCGCCATTCATCATTTGTCGAGTGATCAACTGAATTCCCATTTCGGATTTCGTGAGAATGTCGTGAAGACGAAGAACGCACACATTGTTCTCATTTTTGCTCTCCGGACAGGCGAGGTTTTTGAAAATTCGACTCGCGTCCCAATCTAATCCAACGAATCTCTCCTCGTTTTCTTTCGACTCGTCGTCATCCGAAGAGTTACGGTCGCCGAATCCTCCATTTTTCGATGCTCCAAACAAATTTGCTTCTAGGAACGATCCGGTGAATCTCGCCTCGAAAGTTCTTTCATCTTCTTGAAATTCGAGATCCGGGATGTATGGGGTGGAGCTACTTCAATGAAATTGTGAATTTAAAATCTTCGGATTATTTAGGACTTACACTAGCCGCAAATCATCGAATTCGGTGTCCGAATCGTCGATATCTGACATGTTTTTGCTCAAGATTGAGTGAAAACTTTCAGAGTTCCGCATGTATCCGTCGAGGTGTACTGTAATTCTCTGCGTCCATTAGGCGCTATATTTTACGACAGTTTTTTCTCTCTTTTTCTCAAAAGCTCCAATCTTCTCAACAAGGCCAGAAAAGGCTGAAGGTCGAAGTAGTTTTTTACTTTCGTTATTTTTAACTAGTTTTCCAATTTTGTTACCCACTTTCCCGAGCGTTGGCTCAAGTTCCCCTAGTTACCTTTTTCCCATTGCCTTCTCTTGTTACCTTGCCTTTTAGCTACCCTGCCTTCTAAATTATCGCCAACTCGCCAGTAAAATGAACCGCTGTTGTCTTATTCCTTGGCGCTTTCATTTTTGGATTCGTCATGAATTTAGTGCTTACGTTACGCGCTTTCTGTCTTCCCGTTTCTCTGCGTCTCTTCGTCTCTTGTGTGCTACAAATTTCCGGAATATTCTCTAGATTTTCATTGATTTTTTTATTTTGCGAAAATCTATCCATTCTCAGCTCATTTTAGCCTCTCTCCGTACCCTTGTTATTCTCTGTTCCATGGAATTCTCTTTTTTAAACTCCGCGCGCGTTTAAGGTGGTCGTGGCCGCGCGCGCTTTCTCTTCCTTCCCCGTAACCACGGAGCTGTGTTGCTAACGTCATCATCAATGTTTCGAATTACCCTTCACCTAGACCAAACTTCGAATTTTTCAGACTATGGCGGATTCAGCAGTGGTTGATGAGGCTATGGACACGTCGCCGCCGGTCGGAATTCAGAATGTAAGTTGTTTTCTAAATCGAAACACCAAACTTACCATATCAAAAGCGTGTTCAGATCAAAAACTACGCGATTGGACAAGTTCTCGAAGCCCACAAGTCAGATGCCAAGTCCCTGGCGCTCACCGATACCGGAGTGCTCATATCGGGCGGTCGAGACGAGACAGTGCAGTGGTGGGGCCCGCGAGCTGGAAAATATTCGAAAATTTTGTCATTCGCTCAACCGAAGAACATCGCTGTCAACTCGATAGCCTACGCGGATTTGGCAGATGGATGGAGGCTTTTCGTGGGTCGGAAAGACGGATCTATTGCTGTCTACGCTTCTGGCAACTCGGAACCGATCACTATTTTCAATGAGCACACACAAAACGGTAATTGGTCATGAAACTTTGTTTTTGGTTATAAATTTTTTTTTCAGTGTGTTGCCTGCATATAAACCAGAAAGCCACACATATGCTTAGTGGATCATGGGATGCAAATGTAATGATTTTCCCGATTGCAGAGCTAAACAAACCAAGTTTTACGGTAAGAGAAGCCTGGAAAACTATCAAAAAAGATTTACAAAATCAATTTTCTAGGTTCACAAGTGTGTTGGACACAGCCTCTCCGTCTGGGCGCTCGCTTCGTTCCCGGAAAACCCAGACACGTATCTGACCGCCAGTGCCGATAAAACCATCAGAATGTGGCACAACACCAACACCATCAATGTCTTCAAGGGACACACGGATGTGGTTCGAGCCCTGGCCGTTCTCTCCAATGCTCATTTCCTCTCCGCTGGAAATGATGGACACATCATTCACTGGGACGTCGCATCTGCTTCAGTTCTCGGAAAATTCAGCACCAACGCCCACGACTTTATATATAGTATGACGCTGAGTGATTCGCATATTTTGACGACTGGAGAAGATGGAACGCTCGAGTTTTGGGCGATGGATGCTGATAAGAATGGACAGTTGGCGGTCAGATCGGAGGAAGTCGTTCAGCTACCCTCGTCGGCCACGTGGGATGCAAAAGTGCTTCCGAATTCGGACATTGCTGTTGCTGGAAGTGACGGAAGGATCTACATCATGTCTAATGAGCCAGAACGCCAAGCAGCTACAGAAATTCGAGAAGCGTTTGATGCGGAAGTCGTTGCGAAGATCACTCAGAAAATGGATCGTATGCAAGAGGAGGCTTCCGATGTTGTCACCATCAAAGTGGACATTGATGATCGACCGACTCAATTGGAGCTTCGCTATCGAAAAGGAACGGATCCAGCGCTGTGCGCTCAAGAGTTCATTCAGGATAATCAATTGTCAATTCATCATTTGGATGAGATCATCAGTTTTATCAAGGTAAGTGTTAAGCAGGAATTGAAATTGAAAACTGTAATTTTTCAGCAAAGAATCCCAGAAGCCCGCGCATTCGACATCAAGTCTGGCAAGAAGGTTCTGGTGGACGGAGAGGAGTACGATTACGCGTTGAGTGTCACTCTTGGACGGGGAGCTGCGGAAATGAAAATGCCGTTTAATATCAACGAAAGTCCCGAATTCGCCGCCCAGCGATTTGTAGAGAAGAACAAATTGCCAATTAACACAATCCCGGTGTTAGCTGGAATGATTAGCACGGAGATGGACAAGCTGTCGAGAGGACAAAGTGCTTCGCAAGCCGGTTACGAAGACCCATTCACTGGCCCTGGAAGATATGTGCCAGGAGGATCTTCGAACAACGTGCAAAGCGCCGCGGATCCATTCACAGGCTCTGGTCGTTATGTTCCAGGAAGTAGCAACGCTGGAGGAATGGATGGATTCTCTGGAGATCCGCTGACCGGTGATGGAGGATATCGTGCTGCAAAGGAGAACAATGGGAAACATGCTGTGCCACTTTCATCACTTCCACAGGACAAAAAGAAGCCACGAGGACCACTGGTACCAGTTCCTGAATATATGATTGTTAGTTTTTTTTTGGTTTTGATTTAAATTATTTTCAATCATTTTTCAGATGGGGCTTGCGGGTAAAGGAGACAAGGCGATTGCAAAGCTGAAGGAATTGAACGAGAACCAAGATGCTTTCCGATTGAATTCCGACCAAATCAACTGTCTTGAAGAGCTCTTCCTTCTCCCATCATCCTCCAACTACTCGTCAGATCTTGCTCAATCTGCATTCGACACTGCTCTTCAGTGGAGTGTCGATAATCTGGTGCCAGTCCTCGACTTCTTCCGAATCGCTCTCACCCATGAATCCTTGAATTCCTACTTCTGCGCCAGAGACAAAGGACGTGATCTAGTGGAGAGATTGATTGCAATTCTGGTCTCAGATCCAACAGATCTTTCTTTGAGAGTTATGGTCTGCCGATGCATCGCCAACGCATTCGCCCATCCTGCTGGTCGGAAGCTTTTCGCAGCGACTGAGCTTTCCACGTTGGCTCCATTGGTAGTCCACCAGTTTCTCAGCGATAAGCCGGTGCTTCAGTTGTCCGCTGCCACCGCCTTGGCTAACTGGTCATTGGCTCTTCTACAACAATCCGAGAAGGTTCAGGAGTTGGGACCAAAGGAGGATCTACTGAGAGCTATTGTAGATGTAAGTGTTTTTAGAGGACTGATGGAGTTTTATTTGTTTATTTTTCAGAAAATCGAAACCGTCAGCTCATTCGGATACATCAGTGAGGATTCTCTTACACGTCTCCTTCAATCCATTGTCACCGTGATGTGGGGAGATTCTGCTGTGATTCGGCTCGCCAAGAATCGTGGTCTCGCCGCTATTGCCGCTCGTCTTAAAGATGCCGCTCAAGGAGATCCATGCAAAAACATTGCCCGTGATATCGTCGAAATGACATATGCGGTTTAAGAAAAACTCGTTTTGTACCCTAGGATACCTATTTATGACCGTTTACTATGTGTATATTTTTGTGTATTCCTTCTATTTATTTATTTTTGTCCCCCCTAAAATTCGGTTGCCCTTCTTTTATTCTTCATCCTAGCTTCATCACTACAGTCTAGCCCTTTCCTTATCACTTGCTTATCAATCGATATAAATATGATGGATGTTTTCCCTGTCTTCCTGTTTCCTTTGCTTCTTTCTCAACGGAATTTTCTGAACAATCTATTTTTTAACCATTTTCGTGCGAATCATTTAAATTTTCTTCCACAAAAGATGCGCGCCATCTTCAGAGCCACAAAACGAATGCCTCCGGGACAGCGGAAGACGGCGGCGATCGTCGTGATCGGTGATGAGATTCTGAAGGGCACGACGAGAGACACGAATTCGCATTTTTTGTGCAAACGTCTACATAAGCTGGGTGTCAATATTAAGAAAGTGAGAACAAAAAATTGAGCTAGAAGAGGAAATTTGAAAAAATAAGTTTTTTTTCAAAACTCAAAATTCCAGATCGCCGTCGTTGGAGATGAGATTTCTGAAATCTCTCGTGAGGTTCAATCAGCATCCAGCGCTTATGATTATGTGATAACGAGCGGTGGTGTTGGGCCAACTCATGATGATAAGACTTATCTAGGTAAAGCAATTAGGTCTCATTACGCCCAATTAAAGCAGAAAAATCTATTAAATTGGTACACAAAATCGGAGGGTCCCCCAACGACAACTACAGTAACCTAAAAATATTTTAATTTTCTGATTTTTTTCACTATTATTCTTGTCCAACATTGTAGCCGAAAATACAATTTAAAGGCGCACATTCTTTCCTGAAGCGAAACAAGTTGTTTTGGATCAGTGCATGCGCCTTTGATACCGTATCTCAAAATTATTAAAATTTTCCTTAATTTGCCGCTCTATTTTGTTGACTTTCGTCTGAAAAAAACCAAAATAAGCCTAAACTCATTAAAGGTGGTGTACGGTGAAATTTTTTATTGCATCGAAATGTGAAGAAATGCATGTAGATTGACATAAAAATAAAGAAAAAAATCAAAAAAATCCTTCATCGAGAAAAACGCATCGAAAAATACACTGAAAGCCCTTAGGGACTAGGTTTTTTCTAGGCCGCCCGGTGAGTAAAAGCGCGCGAATTCAAACTTTTAAAATTTTTTCGCTTGTTTTCACTTTTTTTTTCGGTTTTTTCAAAAGTTTTCTAGGTTTTTGTCAATTTTTCTACCAGACATCGGAAAATTTGAAAAAACAGTGAAAACGAGCGAAAAATTTTAAAAGTTTGAATTCGCGCACTTTTACTCATCGGGCGGCCTAGAAAAACCTCGTCCCTAAGGGCTTTCAGCGTATTTTGCGATGCGTTTTTCTCGATGAAGGAATTTTTTTTGAATGTTTTCTTTATTTTTATGGGAATCTACATGCATTTCTGCACATTTTGATGAAATAAAAAATTTCACCGTACGCCACCTTTAAATACGAGGTACGGTATTAAAGGCGCATGCACTTATTCAGAAAAAATTTCGCTTTTTCGCTGCGATGGTCCCACAGCGAAAAAAAATATGTTCATTTCCTAGGGGTTTTTTCTCGTTTTTCACTGATTTTCGTCGATTTTTCTGTAATTTTTCCCTAAAAAACCCGGAAATTGAAAATTCTAATACATGGTGAAAACTCTTTGGCTGAAAACACCCGAAAAAATTGTGGAAATAAAACTATTTTAGGTTACGGTAATTGTACAGTATCCCTAAAAAGGTTTCATTAGACAGATATCTTTCCAGGACTAGCTCATGCGTTCACCGATCAACTACACTTTTCCGACGAGATCCGTCAAGCGGTGAATCGCTTCCTGCCCACCTACATCGATAAGAAAAAGTCAGAAGGCGTGGAGGAGGGCATCGAGGAAGTTGTGAGAGTGGTCACAGAGAAGTTGTGTACGGTAAGAGATGTTGAGAATTTCCAGAATATCAAAATTTTTGAAATGTTTTAGTATTTCTGTAATTTTCTGAAAATACAAAAAATTCCTCCATTTCCGGTCCAAACACCAGTCTTCTAGCTTTTCTAGGAGCCGAGATACAGCACTTTGAGGCATCGAGAGTGAGAGACGCAGACAACGAGACACGCTTACTGTCTCCTGAAGATTCTAGAATTTTCCGGATACGTGACATAATCAGTGATTCCTGTTTTTGTCTATGTATATTTACATAACCTCCCTTTGCGCGCAAGGATTGCGCCGCGCATCTTATACCACGTCACTTTACACGATTCCTTATTTTCTGGATGATGATGAACTGATGATTCTTTTTGCACCTTGCTTTTTTTTGTATTCTATAATTTTTTTACTTTTTTTTGTTAAATTCCAATTTTCCCCATGTTTTACTCTACTATTTTTTATATACATCATCCTAGACTTCATTAGCGGAGCCAACTTGAAAATGTCAGCTCAAAAAGTCAAAACCGGAAATCAAAAGTGTATAGCTGCTAGACGACGGGCACTAATAAAGTAATAAATTACCCTCGGCCCCGTCTCCCTTCTTCTTTCAAAGTTTGTGGAGCTCCTCACCCCTGGTTGCCGTGGGAATGGCAAGTGCGCTCATCTCATGTGATTCAAATTATAAATGTCATCCAGTCTGGAGTTTTCTCCTCGTCGTCACTTCTTCATAGTTACGAGCCTATCTCCTCTTTATTCTGAAAAATGCCCTGTGAAACGGAACCTCGGAACACACCTCGGAAGAAGATCAACTTGAGTCCGTGTTGTTCAGAAGTCTCGAATTCTATTACTATCAATGTGGAGTCGAGTGTCAAGGTTAGCATCCAGTTAGCTAGCATAGTTGATGCTAGAGAACAGTTAGAGAGAATTAAATGGTTCCAGGAAACACCTCCCATTTGTGTTCTTGTGAATCGAAATTTCAATATGGGATATCTAATGAACGAGTATGCGAAAACGCACAACATCGTTCTGGACACCTTGACATTTGTCTACATTGATCGGATGGTTGAGACGAAGATCGAGATGACTGACACACCGATCACACTTAAAATCCGAGATGGAGGCACGATTCGGGTGATCTATGATGAGTGTAGTAGTACTGGAAAACCGTCTGAGAACGTGGTCACTGTTCCATGCTACCCTAGCATCTGTTCTCTGAACAATTGCATCGAAGTAGTTCTGGAGGCGTGCACCCAGGTAGTTTGGACACTTTCCATTTGAGATATTTAGCAACTTCCTATTAGGAAGTCTTCCTAAAATAGAAAGCTTCTATTACCCCTTGCCTCCTCCAAAACAGCCCCATAATTATCCAGGACACACATGACATTTCGGTGCACGTCAGCCCCGAAATAAGTATGGGTTCCCTGATGACCGCATATGCAATCAACAACGACATCAATTTGGAGAGCTTGACGTCAGTTTTTGAAATCTGAATTCACAACTATTTTTAGAAGTTCAGATTCTACTACAAAGGTCGTTTCATCAAAGGTTGGGAGACGCCAGCTAAGCTAGAATTAAAGCACGGAAGTCTGATTCGAGTTCTCTATGTTCCGAAGAGAAAAAACGAAACGAAAAGAAACATGGGGAACTTCAAAGACACCCTGAGCATGGACATCAAAGTTATGGGACATCCAATGGTAACCATGGAGAGTTTCGAAATTCCATAAAACTCGTTTTAGAAAAAAGGAGGATGCTGCATCTACCGCATGGACTATCGAATGCGTATGGGACGGCTGATGGAGTCGTACGCTGGACTCATTGGAGTATCGAAACGGGAGTTACGGTTGGTTTAGTACTCAAGGTGGAAAAAAAATCAAAAAGTGATTCTTGAGATTCTTCTACAACGACTACTCTATTCTGGGTTACGAGACGTTGAACGATTTGGGAATCGATCAAAAGGAGGAGGCGACTATTCGAGTGATGAGAGTGAAGATGTAATGTCTGGTATCGAGAAGCTTCTGTCTGTATATATTTTCTGGAATGTGATTTGTGTAATTGTGAAACCGATGTGAAATTTTTAAGTTGTGATATAATATGTTAATCTTGTATAAATGAATTTGTTTCAACAAAATAATTAACATTCCATTTATGGGTTCAGTGTATGCTTGTTTCTGAATTTCTGAGATTCTGAAGTTCCGAATTTTTGAATTTCCGGAATCTTGAATTTCTGGTTTTCCGAATTCCTGAATTTTCGAATTTCCGAATTGTTGAATTTCCGAATTTCTGAAATTTTGAATTTCTGAATTCTTGCATTTCTGAATTTTAGGTTCAAAAAGTTCGAAATTTTTACATTTTCACAAGGTACAGTTGTCCACTAATTACCGTACCCTTTCTCATCATAAGCAACATACCGTAAGCAATCTAATAGAATGCCACCCAGACCGTCAACTTTAAACTAAAATTGTTTTTGATATTATTGATAAAATTTTTTTGATATTATGATAATTGTTTTACCAGTTGATAAACTTTTGATGTCTTCAATGGAAATCGAGATACATGAGCTTGAAGTTGAAAGTCTGAGTGGCACTCTATCGAGTTACAGTAATCTCAAGGATACAGTAATCATTGTCCCATTTTCCAGATTCCCAAAATGTCCCAACTGCTCTGGGGAACCCAAAAAGTCGATGGTCGTGTCAGCACCTTCCCAGTGGTCCGAGTAGCCAACGTCGTCGCCCTTCCAGGAGTCCCGAAGTTCTGTGAACGAGCATTCGATGAGCTTCAAGACCAACTGTTCCCAGTGGAAGAACGCCAGTCAATGTTCTTCGACACCATCTACACGGATCTAGATGAATTCGATTTTTCTAGAAGGCTAGCAGATGTGGCAGCTAGATTCGAAGAGCAGAACGTGCAAATTGGAAGTTATCCGGAGCTCAAAAACAAGTTTTTCAAAACGAAGCTCACCATCGAAACCGAGTCGTCTGAATCGATGGAAGCGGTGCGGATTGCGTTGAAGGAGCTTCTAGTTGGACATATCGTGTATTATGATTCACACGCGTGGACAGATACTGTAGCCAAATGGAGAGCATTCAAGAAGCGAGAGTTGGTGGAGGCGAAAAATGTGGACTTTGTTCGGAAATTGGAAGAAGCCGAGAAGATTGTTGAGGATATCGTGGAGAGATATCCTTTGGATCAGATTGCATTATCTTTCAATGGAGGCAAAGATTGCACTGTTTTGTTGCATTTGTTGCGGTTGAAAGTTGATGAGTAAGGATATTTATTTTGGTTTGGAGCAATTTATAAAATTGATTTGGTTTTAATTTCAAACAGCTAACTTTTCCAACATGAATTTTCTAGGCCATCAAACTTTTTGGTCTAGAAATGGCCTAAAATGTATCTAGTGACTTTTTTAGGTCATTTAACATGGTGGATTAACTTTTCTAAGTAGAGTTTTATAGGCTGCCTTGTTATAAAATGGCCTAGAAAACAACCTGGTGATTGTTAGAACATTTCTAGACCGTAAACGTTTTTGGCCTAGAAAACTCGACTTGCGAAAGTTAGGCCACCTTGTTAAAATGGCCTAGAAAAGACATTCAATGTATGTTAGGTCATTTATAAGCCAAAAAGTTTAGTGGCCTATAAAATGGAAAGTTAGGCCACCAAACCAGACCTAGAAAAAAGTGGTACAAATTTGTCGATGGATTTCTTTCGACAAAATGTTTCTTAATTGTATTATTTCCAGAAAATACGGCGCTTCAAAAGCTATCCAAGGATTCCACATCATGGTAGAAGACCAATTTCCAGAAGCCACTCAATTCATCATTGACGCGGCGCAGTTGTAAGTTCCTCTATTTTCAAACCTGTCAACTTTGAGCTCAATTATCTCAGTTCCTATGAAAGATATCAGAAAATTTGCCAACTGATAAAATGCTTATCAAAATGTAAGTTACATTTTATCTGTGGACCACTTTTTGATATCTTTGATAGGAACCGGGATAATTGAGTTCAAAGTTAGAAATTAGCGAGCCCTTCTATTACAGGTTTTGCAATAAGCTTTGAGCCTTTCTTTCGCTACTTTACCTCTCCTTTTTTCCAGCTACAACATCCAAGTTCTCGAGTTCCCCGGTCCATTAAAAATCGGACTGGCTGGTCTCAAAAAGCAGCGTCCATCGATTATCCCAGTGCTGATGGGAAGTCGTGCCACAGACCCAAATGGAAAATATATGAAGACTCCTGTGGAATGGACGGATTCGGATTGGCCAAAAGTTTTGAGAGTGTGCCCTATACTTAACTGGACCTATTCAGACGTTTGGCATATGTTGAGAGGGTTGTGTGTTCCATATTGCAAGCTTTATGATCAGGTGAGTCTAGAAGAACTACAGTAACCCTAGAATTCTTTTTTCCAGGGCTACACTTCGCTTGGTGGCCGTGACAACACTGTCAAACATCCAGCACTTCGGATAGTGGCTTCTGATGGAAAAGAGCATTATCTGCCGGCCTACAAGCTGCACAATGATGCAGAAGAACGATCGAATAGATCAAACTTGTAGTTTTTAGAATTACTTAATTATTATGTAATAATTTTATTGAAAACAATGAATATTATCAAACAAACCTTACATAAACTAAAAAAAGAGACAACAAAAGAACAATGAGAATTGAAAAGTTAGGAAATGTTCCATTACACATGTGCTTGTTATTACAAGTATGACAACTGGAGACTCCGCCCACTTGCTCGCAAATCGATTGAGCTTGATGGCAAGATTCGTTGGGGAGACCGGCGGCGGATCGTAGGACGGATAGGCCACATCCACGAGCGACAAATGGTTCTGGAAAAGTTATGTTATCTGAAATAGATGGGCACTGTCAAGTTTGAGCTAATTTATCTCGCTTTCTGTGAAAGATATGAAAAATGTGTCAACTGATAAAATGTTTGTGAAGTTATGATAAACAATTTATCAGTTGACAAATTTTTTATATCTTTGACAGGAATCGAGATAAATTGACTCAAAGTGAAGGGAATCTTCTATTACAGGTTTTACGGTGTTTACATTTGGAATCTGATTTTTAAAAAAGACTTGACGATACCTTCTATTCCATTACATGTGAACTTGAAGCATTCCGTAGTTTCTGCTGGACACTGAACGGGGCTGAACACTTTTTTGTCCCCTTCCACACACCATAAACTATCTGAAAATATAGATTAAGGCTGAAATTGATTTATAATTTCAGGGAATGTTCCATTTATGAAATAAACACATTTTTAAAAATAAGATTTTTTAAAGGTGGGGGGACAGGAGATTTTTCGTAGTTTTTTTGTAGCTAGAGTATGCATTCTACCGTCACTTTCTCTTTGCCCGCGTGGCTCAGTCGGTAGCGGCGCCGCACCCTCAATCATCTCCCTCACAAGTTCAACTCCTCGAGGGGCATCTTTGAACGGAATTTCGTGAACATTATTTTTTTCATGTCCCCCCACCTTTAACTAGAAAAATGGATTGCTAACTGTGTATGTCTGAAAGTTTTATTTAGAAAAATCTTATATGCAAATTTATATCAAAAACTTCGACCTAGACTATCTTGGTTCCTAAAAGATGTATAAAAAAGGTGTCCACTAGTGAAATGTGTAAAAGAAATTCAAAAAATTTTTTAGTTAAAAATAGTTTGGTATCTTTTTCAAGAATCGAGATAATTGTTTCTAAACTAAAGCATATTTTTTGATAGAACTCGGATTTTTTTCACCCCAAAAGTTAAAGTACTTTTTTTTGAAACATTCCTAAATTATCCGAAAAAATGAAAAAGTTTAACCAGATGTTTTAGATACCCAAAAGCCAGTTATCATATTCTCTCTTATTGGAGCCCACCCAAACCGTCTACTTTGAGCCAATTTATCTCGGCTCATGTATGAGATAGCAAGAATTTGTCAACTAATAAATTATTTGTCATATTATCACCTATATCTTATTAGTTGACCACTTTTCGAAATCTTTTGCGGGAAATGAGATATATAAGCTCAAAGTTGATGGACTGTGAGGCTTTCTATAGAGAATCGAGATGGCTGCCTTTAGGCGTTTCAAGTTTAAATCGTTTAATTTTAGAAAGTTACTTTTAAGTTTCATTCTGACTGTCACTAGAAAATATATCTCATGGCCTTATAAAAGTTCTCACAATGAATATCAGTAATAGAAAAAAAGGAAAAATAATTGTTGAGAAAACCAAAACTCACTAGGCGCCACATCCTGTCCATTCGCCGTAGGGGCTGATGGGATCAAAATCAAAATTAAAATATAAAAATTGACAGCATATATCAAAACCATGACAACTGCAGAAATATTGATAGGAATTTTGATAGAATTTAAAACAGTAACACAGGAAAACGAATTTGGCTCCTTCTACAAGTCGGCAAAGTCAACAGACTACTACTCTTTGGGAAGGGTATTAGTTCTTTTCCCTTCCTTCTCTACTTTACTCGTATCGTTTGTTCTGTTTGTGTGCACCTTTAGGTGCTCCTCACACAGTACACACTGGCTCCGCCCACTTTTTGGTAATGAGAGTTTGGAGTGGTAGCAATCGCTCTTATGTTTTGACAGTTTTCTTGCAATATGAGGAGGGCAAAGAGTAGTTGGGAGAGATGTAAATGCGCTCTATTGAGAAAGGAAGTTTTAAAAATCCAAAAGAAGTTATTATAGAACAAAACTACTCTCTGGTCCTCTAACCTTCAGCAGTAACTAGGGATAACTTTGACTAATTGTAACATTTGACTTTAAATAGACGGTAACTATCTGAAATGTTATGACCTCAATAATATGCCATGTTTATATTTGTTTTAAAGCTCTCCATGATAAAGGTTCAAAACAGAAAATTTCATTCAAATTGATCAAAGATCAATGAAGTTACAGAAAATTTTGTATGGAGGCTAGAGAGTCAGAGAAACCAGACACGCTGCGTCTCTGACTCTTCTTACTACCTCTTACTAGTTAGTAAAACCTAGTCTTGTTAATATTCATTTTGAAGGTCTCTTTCTCCTTGTTTTCAACATCTAGTTTTCGTCCCAGGCCGAGAAGAACTGACAAAGTTACAGTACGTTTCATGTTTCGAAAACTTTAAAATACCGCAAACCTAGTCATGTTTATAAATTGGAAGCTCTCTCTCTCTCCACATAACGAACGAAAGACGGCATATCGAATAAAGTACACCTACAGTATCCGAATCTCCTTCTGGATTTCTGAACATTCTTGACCTAGTCTGCCAATTATTAAACTAGTTTTTCTTTTATTTCAACTTTGAACCCGACCTTGACATATCTTGACACACACTGTTACAAAAAGATATTACACTCGTCATCCTTTCTTCTCTTTTCAAGACATTCACTTTCTTTTCACTGTCACACGACTATAACTATGAAACTTCTAGTTTCGTTATTTCCCTATTTCCTTTTTGTATTGATTATAGAGATTTTCGCCGAGGAAAACCAGAAGCTGATTGACGCCGTCGCTGGATTCTGTACGAGTCACGATGGTTATGATAGTGGATTTTGCCTGGATTATGCGAAATTGAGAAGAGGTAAAATAATGAGACTCCTGAATCCGAATTCCAAGGTTTTAAGATTTTTAAAAATTTTAAAGTTCCAGTTTTTGTGAACAATCGGATTTCTGGATCTAAATTTCAAGAATATAAAATTGTTATACTTCAAGATTTTGAGATTCTTAGGGTTCTAGGTTTTGATTCACACTTGAAAAACGGCCCTGTCCTATAGTTCCTTGTAGGACCAATTTTTTGAACCAACTGAATTGGATCCAATAGAAAAACTCAAAAACTACGAAAATATTATTTAGAATACTGTATCTTGTTTATGAGTAAAGCTGCAAGACCATAAAGGTGTGACTTTATAGCTCAGACGGTTTCTGGCTTGTAACTTTGTTCATAGATAAGGTACAGTTTTCCAAATAGTGTAATTTTGTAGTTCTTGAGCTCTTCTATCATTTCAAATTCAAATTCAGTTAGTCCAAATATATTGATTCTAAACGAAGGGGCTCGGCAGGGCCTGTTTCAAGCCGGATATAAACAATGAGATCCCTGAATCCGAACTTCGACATTTTAAGATTTTTAGCGTTTCAAGATTTTTATTATTTTTTCCAAATTTCAGAAAGAGCTCTACCGAATGCCACTGTAACCAGTCCTCAAGAAATAGCCAATAAGACGGCATCTGCTGAAAAACCGCCCCCTTTTAAGCAGGAACCAGGAGAAATCCTGTTCCAAGAGGGTAACAAAACTACAGTAGTCGATCCAACAGATACCACAGATCCAGATGAAGAGATTTCCGGCCTTAGTGGGTTTTTTTTCAAACTTTTTGTTAATTCAAATTAAAATTGGTTTTCAGCGCCCCAACAAATTCAAGCAGAGTTGCGGAAAATTATCCAGGAGGAGCTGGCAAAGAAAAATATTCAAAAGACGTCTCCAGATGATCCGGTGAGCCTTTGTATTCAAAATTAAAAAAGTTATCAATGGAGCGAACTTTGCAGGCGTGCAAGAATCTTCGTGACGAATATGATGAAGTTTGTTTCGCCACCCCACCACTTGCCGCTTTTCAAGAAACCCGAGAATTTTGTTTGGCGTTCGTGAAGAATTGTCAGAACTCTCTGTTGACTAATATTTTCACTAATGTTAAGTTAGTAGAGGAAATTTTAAAAAAATCGTTGAGTTTTGAAGTTTTCAGAAACTTCAAAATCGACTTCACAGCGTATTGTAAGAAGCATCGCGAGCGCTTCAGATACGTCTGTCCGGATCCATTGAGGTTTCAGAGTTTTGCTGAAAATGTGAGTTGCTTTTATTTTTGAATTGTTTTAGAGAAGTAGATACAATAGCGAAGATATGATTGTTCCAAGTTTCGGAGGCTAGAGACACCAGACGACAAGACACGCTGCGTGTCTTACCTCGCCAACTTAAAACGGCTATATCTCTGCTCGTAGACAAGCTAGACACATAGCTTTTGAACAGGTTTGAAAGAAATTTTTTTTATTTTCTTTCGAATCTACTTTTTGTAATGATTGAAAGTTTTTGAAAAAATTTTCAAGCTTTTTCTAGCTTGAAAAAAACTATGAATGAGAAGCCCGACTCAAGCTGAGCATTTCTCAAGAAAAATTATCTATCTAGCTCTTTTAGAAGCTCTCCCAGAAAAGTTTTGGAACGAGAATGATGTTGATATTCAACCAAAACAAAACCATTACAAATGACTTTTTTCTAGGCTGTCGACTTCTGCGTCCGCTATCAAGACCGCTGCCCGAAAGAGCCTGTGCCAGCGGAACCAGTGAAATTCCATAGAAAAGACGAGGGACACATTTACACCAGAGAAATCGAGTTCTGGTGTACGCGTACCAAACGAACCGCCTATAATTATTGCACCGAGCCGGATCTGCTGAAAGTTTACAAGTATGCAATGTTCTGTGGAATGTATAAGTATGCTTGTATTGATGTGTATAAGAGGGTCATTTATGGATGAAATTTAAGATTTTTGTTTTTTTTTCTAGCTCGGACTGTAAAAGTCTGAAATTTTCCTTTGAAAAAGTGGTTAGCAGTGCTGGCTCTATAACTTTTGAGCGATCCAGTTTTTTTGCTTCCCACGTTCTGCCACATGGTTTTAGCTCACAAAGCGACCAATCCTTAGAAAGCAGACTTATTCCCGTCTTCACAATGACCACTATCACTGTGACCGCCACCGATGAGGATCAGGAGACTCCGGCTCCACAGGAGCAACTTGTTCTTCGTCTTCGAGCTCAACCAGCTCAGCCAGCTCAGCGAGCTCCCCCAAGCCCGCCACATGTCACCTGGGCAGCGGATGTTGTTGGTAAGAGCTAATAAAAAATTTTCTTCTGAACGTTTCGAAACATTCCAGACAACGAGCACATGGGTCGTCTGAAATCCAACTGCTGTTGCATCTACGTGGCACCTCGCCGTTGGGACGATCCATCGACCTGGGAACCAGATGAGCACGAGACGGAGCACTGTAGAGGACACACTTTGCCGGAGAAGAAGAAGCCGAGAAAGGAAGATGAAGACGGGGATGAGGATAAGGAGAACAAGGCAGTGGAGAATCATGGGTGTGGATGTGACCATTGCTAAATGAGAAAGAGAAGAAGAAGGATATGACAAAAAAGAGAGAAAGAAAATGCAAATGGTCAAGATGTCTCTTCTCGTTAGCATAGCCATGTTTCAACTCGAATAAACATTTCTGATTTTATTTTTACTTTTTTTTATAAGTTGTTTTTATATTTGAAATTCCGTAAACACTCTAATAGAACGCCGTCCGAATCGTCAACTTTGAGCCCATGTTTCTCATTTTCTGTAAGAGATATCAAAAAGTAATTAACTAATAAAATGTTGCTGATATCATGATAAACATTTTGTTAGTTGACAAACTTTTGATATCTTTTAATAGAAGTGAGATATAGGCTTAAAGTGGACGGTCCGGGTGGCGTTCTATTAGAGTGTTTATCATCAATCTGTGAAAGATCCTCCTTCATTGTTATTTTGACCTTGTTTATCTAGTTCCCTGGTAAAGATATGAAAACTCTGTCAACTAATAAACTTTTTATCATAATAGTTCAAACACTTTATCAGTTGACTACTTTTTGGTATCATTTACAGGAACTGAGATACCGTAAACCTATAGAAGGGCCCCATATTGCCAAGGGCCCCAGATTGCCAAGTTGCCAACTGATTTCGGCTCCCATGCAAGATATCAAAAAATTGTCAATTAATAAAATGTTTTTGATAATATGATAAACAACTTATCAGCTGACAACTTTTTTATATCTTTTACAGGAACCGAGATAAATTGGCTCAAAGTTCTAGTACAGGTTTTACGGTAAATTTGTTGAAGCAATCTCACAATTTCAATTTTTTTTTGTATCTGTGACACAGTTTATTGAAAAAAACGTTTCAAAAAAGTCTACAACACTAAACTAGATCAAAAAAACTACTTCCCGATTCCAAGACCACTGGAAACTCCTATCGGCCCAACGCCAGGCACACCGACACCAACTCCACTGCTGATTCCGAAAAGTCCCCCATTTCCAAGACCAAGTCCTCCAAGACCGCTACCAGTCGCTGGAGCAGGAGCAGGTCTAACTGTCGTGGTTCGGCTCACAAACTTGCTCTCCCACTTCTCATCATCCTCCCAATCCTTGTCTTCAGTTTTGGAACTTTTCGCTGCGTCCACTTCTTCAGAGCTCGGAGGAAGTGGGAATTCATCGTCATCGTCTGATGGTTTCTTCTTTTTGTGGTGGTGGAGGGATTCTAAAAAAGAGTAAATCAAAAATATGAAATTTTGATGTTCCTCTTACCATTATCCACTACACTGGTGTCCTCTTCTGAAAAATGAAACTTCTTCTTCTTCTTTTTGCTTTTCTTCTTGTTCTTCCTCCTCTTTTTCATTCCACACTCTGATCCATGACTATCTTCCTCTTCACATCCTCCAGGACAGAGTCCTTGGCAACCGTACCCGTGCTGGTAGTATATATTGTATGGCTCGGTGTAGGGTCTGGAAAATTTTGTAGGTTTTCAGGATTTTTTTTTTAAATTTCTCTCTTTTTTCTATCTCTAATTTATCCTGAAATAATTTACCGTACACCTTTAATAGAAGTGCCTCCCACACTGCCCAGTTTGAGCTCAATTATCTCGATTCCTATGCAAGATATCAAAAATTGGTAAACTAACCAAAACGCTGATGATAATATGAAAAATATTTTATCAGTTAACAAATTTTTATTTGCCTGACAGGAACCGAGAAAAATTAGCTCAAAGTTAAACGTTTCTTCCTATTGCTCTAATATAAGCCCACCATATAGTCCACTTTGAGCTCAATTATCTCGTTTCCTATATTGAAAATTGGTAACTCACAAAAATGTTTATCACATTATCATTAACATTTCATACGTTGACAAAATTTTGGTATCTCTCACAGAAATCGAAATAATTGAGCTCGAAATGCATGAATAGGGTGATATTCTATGAATGAGAGCCTCTCTCTCTCTCTCTCTCTTTCTCTCTCTCCCTCTCTCTCTCTCTCTCCCTCTCTCTCTCTTTTTGTCTCAAATCAAACACTCACTGGCACAAACTCTGACAATTACAGCCTTGATATAGACTTGGTTGATTACAGGCGTACCCTGTCATTGATCCATAGAAGGCTAGAAATTCGTTTTTGAAATCCTCGAAAAATGAAAACTCACTACTGGAAACTTCTAGAACAATAGCTGTTAGCACAATAATTTTCAACATTTTCCAATTGTGTGGTTTGAATGGTCACTACTGTTTTTATACTTTTTTTAGGTCATTAATTTCAGAAGGTCAAAACAAGGAATACTAGAATAAGAGGAGGAAACTATGCGAGATCAATCAAATTGTGTAGGAAACAAAAAGAATGTAAAAACAAGAAACAAGAAAGTAAAAAAGAATTATTTTCCAATTCCCAGACCACTGGAGATTCCAATCGGACCAACACCAGGAACACCGACACCAACTCCACTGCTGATTCCAAATAATCCTCCGTTTCCAAGACCAAGTCCTCCAAGACCACCTCCTGCTGGTTGTACTGGTTGTGGTTGGGGCTGAACAACTCGTGGTGGTGGCATTGTGGATGTTCTGCGACGGTGAGCTTCGGCAATTTCTTCGCTTGTGATTTCTGGGAACTCCTCGGAGTCTAGTTTCTCTTCTGCTTTGGTGTTAGTTCTGTCGGTCACAAACTTCTTCTCCCAGAGATCCTGGAAAGTATAGGTTTCCGTATTTTTGAAAACAAAATGGAAATTGCGATTTCGGTAATAAATTTGAGATGAGAAAGTTCGCGTCATACCTCATTCTCCCAACCATCATCTCCTCCAGTAGACCCTCTTGATCCTGCTCCAGCACCTCCAGAAGAAGTAACTCTCGTTGTTTCCTTCTCCTCAATAAATCCTTGTTCCTCACTCTCCAATCTTGAAACTTTGCTCTTTCTTGTTGGCGGTGGTGGTGGGATATCTCCATCCTCATCAGAATCAAAACGGAACTTGCGACGTGGCTTTTTGTGATGCTTTCGGTGTGGTCGACGACGTCTGGGGTAGTATCCTCCACCGCCGGAACATCCATTGGAGTATCCGCAGGGGCTGTATTGTGGCTGTTGCATGTAGCTACTGCAGAAGGATGGACAATTGCATTGAGAGTAGAGTTGGGGTTGGTTGCAAGCGTAACCACTCATGGTCCATGCTGTAAATTATATCCCATAATATGAGGACCGTAAAACCTCTAATACAAGAGCCCTTAACTTTCAACTTTCAGCTCAAACTTGACGGTGTGGGGGCACTTGTATTACAGGTTTTACAGGCATGTTTTTGATTCTAGTTTTGGAAATCTGGATTTATCTAGATTTTTTACATACTATCAGAAAATGTCACAATGCAGTCCAAGTTGCCCAAATCACAAAAAAGACCTAATTTATCTCGATTGTATTAGCTAAAATTTCAGATCAACCTAATCATTTTTTGGGTCAATACAACTTTGACATTTTTCAACTAAAACTGACAGTTTATTTTTGAATTCTCACTTGAAACTGCCTCGCAATTTTACCGTTAAACCTGTAATAGAAGGGCTCCCTCACTGCAAACTTTGACCTAATTTAACTCGGTTACTGTAAGAAATATGAAAAATGTGTCAACTGATAAAATGTTTCGGATGTTATAAAAAATAATTTATCACTTGTAACATTTCTTGTGTCTTAAACAGGAACCGAGATAAATTACCTCAAAGTTAAATGTTAGAGGGCCCAAACATTTTGTTCAAACGGACCAATGGCGGTCCAGGAAGTCCTGGACCCATAATTCCGTTCAAATCCAATATTTTCCATTATATAGAACACGATCTGACAATTCCAAATCAATTTTTAGATTTCAAAAATATTGACTTTGAAGCGAGTTATGGTCATTTCGGATTTGGAAAATTTTGGCCTAATTTTGGTTTTCTAGGCCACAAAACTGAAGTATGTTATAACTCGCTTCAGAATCAATATTCCTGAAATCTGAAAATAGTTTTGGAACTTTCAAAGTGTGCTCTTTGAAACCATATCTAACACGGCCTAGTTCTTCAAATATTTTCCAACAAAAAAAAGTCACTCACTTGCCGCAACCGCACCAATAATCGAAGCAAGTAATAATAACTTACAAACAGACATTTTGTCTCAAAAAATGAAGTCATCACCCTCATTTCGATCTTCTTTTATGCGGAAAAACAGTGTAAAAATATCTCGTTGTGTCCATTGTCTTTTCGAATTGACAAGGGTCATTTCTATAAAAGAAATCATTCATTGTTTAATCACTGATAGCAGATTTAGAGGTCACTTCTTGCCAAAGAAGAGAGAAATAAGAAATGGACAACAGCAAAAAATGATTATTCGTGTAAAGAACAACACAAAAAGAAAAGACTGATCATTGGTTCCGCTTTCCGTTGAGACTGTTGAGGACGCATATTTTGATTCTGTATGATTTTTTAACTGATAAACTATTTTTAATATTATCACCAACATTTTATCAGTTGACACATTTTTCATGTCTCTTACAGTAATCGAGATAAATTAGGTCAACGTTGGCAGTGGTTTTACGGTAACATCCCGACTCACACGGGAAGTACCCGAAATGAATCCTCGCTTTTTCTTAGATATTGGTTGCAAAAAATGTTTTCTCTCTGGACTAGCACAAAACGGATAATATATAAGCAGGTTGAGCAGAATGGCAAAACTTTTTCTGATTTTTCCTAAAAAGTGGATCAAGTCCATTAAAAAATCATAACTTTTTAAAGATTAAAGAATAGACTATAAACTAAACTGCATTTTGTAGAACGGATTACAGGCTACAAAAACTTGATTACACCTTTATTCTATCTTTGCAAAGAACATTACTATGATAGAAAATGTCCGAACGGTCCGATCGTGTGAAATCAAAAAATGTCGATTTTCGAAAAAAACGTATTTTGGAGACCATGCCTATTCGATTCCTTCCATGTCATAATGCACAACTATAGTCTCAAATATATAGCTCACCGTTCATTTAAGAGAGATTTTTGAAAGAACAATTTTTAAAAAATCAATTCCATGTACCCCTATACATGCTCACTTTTAACATGTTCAATTTTTTTTCGAGAATTTTGACTTCTTGATCACGATTTGATCATTTTCTCTTACAAAAAAACTAAACTAAATGAATCTTTCATTCTTAGAGCTTTTTAGTGGTATATGGAAAAATGAGTTGAAAAAGCACCATGTATAGGGGTACATGGAATCGAGTTTAAAAATATTATTTTTTGAAAAATCTCTCTTAAATGGACGGTGAGCTATGTATTTGAGATCATAGTTGTGCATTATGATATGGAAGGAATCGAATATACATGGTCTCCAAAATACGTTTTTTTTTCGAAAATCGACATTTTTTGCTTTCATACGATCGGACCATTCCGACATTTCCCATCCTAGTAAATTTCTTTGCAAAGATAGAATAAAGGTGTAATCAAGTTTTTGTAACCTGTAATCCGTTCTACAAAATGCAGTTTAGTTTATAGTCTTATCTTTAATCTGTAAAAAGTTATGATTTTTTTAATGGACTTTATCCACTTTTTATGAAAAATCAGAAAAGGTTTTGCCATTCTGCTCAACCTGCTTATGGGCACCTTATATTATCCGTTTTGTGCTAGTCCAGAGAGAAAATATTTTTTGCCACCAATATCTAAGAAAAGCGAGGATTCATTTCGGCTACTTCCCGTGTCAGTTTCAGCTAATTGAGAATTCAAAAATGAACGGGCCTTTGCCTTCGCGGGCGCTGTCACAGTCAGCAAAAACGTAACATTTCAGACTTTCGCATCGTTCGAGCTACTTTCGCAATTAAGTTCGGTTTTTTCGATGAAGAACAGATTCTAGAGATGCTAGCGATCATTTTCATACCAATAAACGTGAATTTTGTCCAGAAGATCCCACTAAATTCACAGAAACAAGTTTCGTTTACTACCGTAGTGTTTTTGTGGCAAGGCCTCGAAAATTGACCGGGAAGCCGCCCGCGAAATTTTTCAGGTCCCACTTTTTTACACTCGACACTAAATTAGATATGTTAGAACTCGACAAGTGCTACAAAATGATAGTAATTGACCTTTCGAAAATCAGTCATTTCGCAATGGTTAAAAAATAATAATTTGAACTATCCTTGAAATCAAATTTTCACATACTCATCACAAAAAAGACTTTTCTGAAATCAAAAAAAAATATTTGATATAAAAATATTCTAAATTTAATTTTAAGATGCGGATCTAAATTCCAGATTTGAATCTCTTTTCTTTCAAAAGTTATGAGCAAATTTCTGAAACAAAATTTTGAGGAATTTCGCAAAGAAAGCTTGGAACATTTGGCGGCAAAAATAAGTAGATCAAAAAACTTTTCTCGAGCATGTCTAAAGATCTCAAAAAAAGGTTTTTTCACAAATATAAAAACGTTCTACATTCAATTTTAAGGTACTGGTCCAAATTTCAGACGAAGATTCTTTCCTTTCGAAATTATGATTAAAAAACCAAGACTCAGTCTTCGGAACCACTATTGAAAGATAAGCTCCAAACCAAAAAAAGAATATTTATTAATCGAAAAATTAATTTTACTCTATTCGAAAAAAAAAAAGTTCATATCATTTTTTGCCTTCCGTCGAACTTGACTTGGTGACCGATTTCGACGACACTGACGTAGCTGAAGACGATGAAGCCGGAATAGCAGTCGCTTTTCTCGGAATTTTTGAAATTCCCACAATGTAGTCAAAAGTCGCAAAGTCGCGGTTTTTAGATTTGTCCGAATGTGGGCGTAGTTTTCTGAAATTTTTTAGTTTTCAGGAAACTTGGGAAAAGTAAAACGGAAAAAACCGATTGTAAGTTTGCAACTGGTATTCATAAACACATTCTGGAACTATCGAAATGTCCGGCTTCTTCAAAAGTTTCTGAACTTTTTCCACAGCTGGTTTCTGCGGAAAAGACCACGTAACCCGTTTTCCGGATGGTGGCTCATCCTCTAAAGAAGATTTCGGCTCGACATCTTTTTTCAATTGTCGACGTTTTGGATCTGGATCTTCCTGAAACTGAAATATAAATGTTTCCAGTTGTATTCGGACAGTTTCTTTTTTCGAATTTCCAAAATGGGAACATTTTTGACATAATTTTTTCAAAATAGTTCCAAAGTAGTGTGTGTTTTTCAAAGGATATTCTTCGATGGCCTGATATTGACGTGGTGTGTTTCCTAGGTCATTACCACGGTGGCCTAAAAATCAACTTGCAAAAGTTAGGCCACCATGTAAAAATGACAAAAAAACTGAGAATACAATGTCAGCAACGAAATTGCTTATAAATGACCTGATATTTATCTGGTGTGTTTTCTAGGTCATTTACCATGGTGACCTAGAAAACTCAACTTGAAAAAGTTAGGCCACGGCGTAAAAATTACCTAGAAACCCTACAAGGTACATATAAAGTCATTTTTAACCTGGCGGCCTAGAAAACTCAACTTGAAAAGTTTGGCCTCCTTGCTAAAATGATCTGGGAAACCCATCAGGTGAATACTTGGTTATTTCTAGGCTATAAAAGCTGGTGGCCTAGAAAACTCAACTTGGAAAAGTTAGGCCACCATGTTAAAGTGACCTAGAAAACACCATAGACATTTCTAGGTCATAAAAGTTGGTGGCCTAGATATCTCAACTTCAAAAAGTTAGGCCACCATGTAAAAATTGGCCTAGAAAAAACCTTTGGGGAATATTAGGACATTTCTAGATCATACAATACAAGTTGGTGGCCTAGAAAAACCCAACTTGAAAAAGCTAGGCCACCATGTTAAAAGACCTAAAAACCGAAAAAAGAATTCTGACCTTCTTCTGCTGTTCATCCCAAATCAACTTCTCCACTTCAAACATCATAGTGGCATGAAAAGTGTTTGCCGTCACTCTCTTCAACTCATTCTCCTTGGCCTTATCCTTTGCCGCCCGATCCTTTTCCGGAACTCTCGCCGAATCATCATCCTCTATCCCAATCGACTTATCCACCATTTTCAGCAATTTCCAATTTTGAGTCTTCGGATCATTAAAGGGAATTTGTCGATTCTGTTTCGGCAAAATTTCAGTTGGACATTTCAAATACATTTGCTTCAATGGTTTGTGCAGCTGGATTCGAACTTTTGGAATCGACTCATCTCCTGGTTGGCGGGTTAACCAAAACGGACGGTTGTTAACGAAAATGTCATCCTTGCTGGTTGCCAAATTGGTCTTGACACGAGTGACGTAGTCGTTAACCGGATAACTACTGAACCATTTTTTGATGTCTGGTTTAAAATCCAACTCGTTTCTTTTATCGTACTCAGGAGGGACATAGGACTTGGCGAGCATTTCAGTGGTTCTGGAATTTATAGGATTACTGTAAAACCTGTAATAAAAGGGCACCTTAACTTTGAATCCATATATCGCCCCTCTGAGCCCACCCGAACCCTCAACTTTGAGCTTAATTATCTCGGCTTCCATGCAAGATATCGAAAATATGTCAACTGACAAAAAAAATTGGATTTTATGATAAACAATTTATGAGTTGATAAAATGTTTGTCGTATAATCATCAAAATTTTATCAGTTGACAGATTTTTGACATCTACCACGGGAACCTAGATAAATTGGCTCAAGGTTTAAAGTTAGGGGACCAATTTGTTTTCACTTACGGATCAGCAACACAATCGGATTTGCGTCCCCAGAACTTTGTTTTTCTATAGACACTCTTCAGAAAACCATTTTTTCTCTTCTTCTTTTGAGTGTCGAAACGTTGAGATGTTTGTGCACTGCTAGCTGTTTTGGGCTTCATTCCAGCAGACCCTTGATCCCTTTTCATTGTTATTGAAACTTGAAGAGGCGGGGTTTGAGCAATTGGAGTCCCAGTGGTTGGCGGAGTTGGTGGAACCACCGGTGGGGTCGGGGGAACAGGCGGTTTTCGAACCTTCTCATCTGTCGATTTTTCTGGACCACCACAATTATTTATCAACCGATCTGGCTTATTATCCGGAGAAGAACTGATGTTTGGAGGATCTTGCGATGGAGTTGGTTGTTGGATGGACTTCTGAAATTGTCAAACTTCGAAAAAAAAACCAAAAAATTCTGCACGAAGTGGGATTCGAACCCACGCACCCATACGAGTACCAGAACACCCAGAAGACCTCGAACTCGAGGTAAGCTCTCGCTTGAGTCTGGCGCCTTAGACCACTCGGCCATCCGTGCTACGAAAGAAACAGAAGGGGAGGTCGTAGGGAAAAGAGGGAAACAGGAGAGGAGGAAGGCGACGCGTGAGAGGAAAAGAAGAGTATGTGCATTAAAGAATTCCTTTCACTTACCACCACATTATTGTTGTTGGTCTTTATTTGAATCTTCTTGGTTGTCACTTTTCTGGATTTTCTCAAACTTTGCCTCCCGCCCCCTCCTCCTTCTTCAGAAAATATGTTCTCAGCAGATGACCGTTTCGAAATACGTCTTTTGGTGTCCACTTTTTTGTTCCTGTCACTTTCCGTTCCCCTTTTTCGATGCTCGCTCCGCGCACTTTGATTTTCTTTGCCTTTTGGGTTGGCTTGTGATTTTTCAGGACGGATCGGTTTTTCTAGAACCAGTGAAGGTTTTTCAGGGACTGGCTGTTTCAGATTGTCTTCCTGGAAACACCTCGTTTATTCCATACTATCAACTTTGAGCTCAATTATCTCGATATCTAGGAAAGATATGAAAAAAGTGTCAATTGATAAATTGTTTATCATGATGTCATTAGTATTTTATTGGTTGACCGCTTTTTGATATTTTTTACAGGAATCGAGATAACTTACCTCAAATATGAGATATTTTTTGGTAATTTAGATTTTTCAGTGATAAGTAATGGCTCTTAAAAATGTAACTCAAAATTGTCGAAATGTTTTGAAAATCCCAGAAAATATAAAACAGAAATATAGCTTCATTTTTGTAGTTGACAACTTTTTTTTTAAAAAGTCTCTAGAAAAAGATATACGGCTTGAAAACCACAGAGTGCCAGAACATGTAGAAACAGTTCTGTCACTTTGCTGTACTTGGTCTTTGAGCTCAATTATCTCGGCTCTTTTAATAGATTGCAAAAATTTGAAAACTACAAAAATGTAGGTGATATTATAATCAACATTTTATCAGTTGACACGTTCTTGATATCTCGCATAGGATCAGAGATAATTGATCTGTAACTCGACACTATAAGGAACCTTCTATTGAAGCTTTCCAAATCTTACCACAATTAACTGATCCGGTGGTTGTTGATCTTGAGTCTCATCTACCTCCTCTTCCGGCTCTTGACATCTATCCACGTTCCATTGCTCCGCCCCCAATTCTTCTTCGTCCTCCAAAAACTTGTCCGTCGGACACTGCGGTATCCCTTCCTCATCCTCCCGATCCGTCCATTTTTGATCTATTTTGTCGTTGGACTTTTTCTTTCGAACTAGTCTTTGAGACGGAAACTTTGGCATCAGAACTGGCGGCAACTCGTTTTTTTTCCTCTCGCGAGCTGAATCCTTCGTCCGGCGGCGATTCGAATTCCTATTCAGTTTGTTGTCCCTGAGAATCGTTTTGTAAGTCAATTTTAAAAATTGAAAGAATCTAAAAACGCACTCTCTTTTGGCCTGATTCTGCCGATCGCTGTCAGTTTTCTTTACATTATCTTTGCTATCAGAATCCATTCGTTTGGCTTCTTTTTGTCTGCTGTTTTCAATTTGGCTTCCGCTTTGTGTAGCAATGTCGCTTTATTGGCAATATATCACCAATGGTATATCGAGCGAAATAAGAAAATGAGCATGTCTGTGCGCTGGAAGAGTCTCATGACAAAAAAGCCACCGAAATGTAGATGGAACTCATCAAAACGTGGAGGTCAAGACTTTTTTCTGGGTAATTGGATCTCAAGAACAAAATCTAGGTCATCCTGGGACTTGCATGGGACCGGAGGGCTGGAAAAAAGAGCTCAAGGAGCTTTTTGTTTGTTGGAAAATGTGCATTTAGAAAAGTTATTTTTTCAGGGCGACGACAGTAACAATCACATTCAAGAATCAGTTCAGTTTTTTTCAGAATATTCTAGACGTCTTCTGAAGATTCTAGAAGGTGTTAGAGCCTTCTAGAAGGTTCCAGAACGTATCTAGCATGTTTTCAACCGTTCTAGCCGTTTTCTAAAGATAAGGCTCTAGGCACTTCCAGAAGGTTCCAGATTTTTTTTTCAGACTTTTATTTCCATCCCCAGGAAATCAGGCCGGCTGGTTTCAATAATACCCTATCAGGCTTTTTAGAGGTTTTTAAATAGATTATTTTATTTGAATTTATTTGAATTTTTTATTAAAACGTTCTAAGTTCAATTTAAAGATTTGACTCAAAATTTCAGGCTCAATCTGCTGTTTGCGCAAAGGTATGAATTCCAGACAAATTCCAATTTTCATGATTGGTTGTTAAGCGAACAGGAAGCAGAGGAAGTTTATATAAGATATGATTTTTTTTTGGACCATGATCTGAAATAAGGATTTATAGTTAAACTCGATTTTCTTCAGATTTTGTGTACTGGATTAGCCAGACAAATGTAGTCTGTTGGTCCCTCTCGCCACGTAAAGGCTCAGTACATAGAAAGGGAAAATGCTTTTTACCGGGGAAAAACCAACCAAAAACCCCATTGTTCGCAGTCTGATCCTCAGCATGAGTGGCGAGCCCTGTTCTAGTGATGCTGCCTTCCAGTGAACCGTGGAACACTGACCGACTAGACCACCAGCCCATTGCCCACGCAAGCATGCCTCCCAAACCTCGAACACTTAAACTGAATTTTTTTAGCCCGTATTGGGAGAAAAGGGGGCGGGCCTTAGCACACCTGGCCTAGTCTTTCCCATGGGAAACTCCGCCCCCTTTTCAAACGTTGTAGGTATTGTTATCGTCGTCAGATGAAAATTTAACACCGTAAAACCTGTAATACAAGGGCACCCGTAACTTTTGATTTTTAGAAAGTTTTTCTGGGTTCCTGTGAAAAATATCCGAAAGTTTGAAAGTGTCAACAGATAAATTGCTTATCATTACAAAAAAAAATTTATCAGTTGACACTTTTTTGATATCTTTCACAGCAATCGAGCTCTAACTTAAGCACATACTTTTTGAGCAACGTCTCAAACAGTTCGTCCAATTTCACAATCTTGTTTTCAATGAATAAATGAATGATGAGGATGATGAGGTAGACGTATTGAAGTTGCGATTGTATCGCACCCAGGCGCATCTTGCGAAGACGTTTCAAGATGTCAACCATTTCCACAGCTACAGTATAGCGGGTCCTTCTATTACAGGTGTTAAGGTTAGGTTTTTTTAGAACTCCGAAAACGGTATACATATATCATTTTATCCAAAAAAAAGAGAGATAATAAAGGGAAAGACAACAAAATATTTGAAAATACGAAAAAACCTGACAAGAGAAGTGGGAACCGTACAAGAATCGAGATGGTACATATTTGAGAAATGAGATGGCCAACGAAGAAAAAATCAGTCATAATCAGAAATCGTCGAATAGATGTGATTGTCAGTTTCTAGACAGACATGCAAAACTTGTGACAGCTTCTGAGGTAACCGTTGTTGACTGGTCTCTTGGTTGGAGGACAACAGCTGGGATATCCGAATACCGTTGCCTCGGACCCATGAGAGAAGTTCGGAGAGCGCCAGAGAGGATCCTTTGCATGTGGAGACGTCCTGAAATGTTTCATTTCCTGAAGTTTCCTCCCATTTAGAACTTACATTGGCCATATTCACCAATTCTGTCCTCAACTCCTCCATACCCAGTGGTGGACTGTTTTTGACACGTTTGAATAAATCAACGGAAAGTGGGCGGAGTCTCGCGACATCTTTAGCGAACAGAAGACGAGATGATGGAGAGTGAGCGCCGAGGACAGGTTCGGAGAATGAGAAGCAATCCATCTGAAAATGTATAGTTACCGTAAAAACATCTAATAGAAGACTATGCTTGCACGTTGAGCTCGATTATCTCAATTCCTTTAAAAGAAAGTAAAATAGAGTCTACGGACAAAACACTTCTAATATTATTATGAACAGTTTATCAGTTGACAACTTGTTTATATCTTTGACAGGGGACGAGAAAAATTGGCTCGAAAATGGAAATTAGGGGCTTTTCTATTACAGGTTTTACGGTATACAAAAACGTATTTTTCAATTTATTTTTGGTCGAGTTTCTGAAATCGGCTAAAAAAGGAGTTTTTTAAAAATTCTGTGAATGCAAAGTTTTCAATCTAGATATGTTTTACACCCTTCAAAATATTCAAAGTTATCGGAAACTTGACAGCCGAGCTTCAGACTCTTGAAAATGGTCAAAATAGCCAAAAATCAACAGAGTACAATTTTGCAGATCTTATTTGTCCGGTACTGTATTCATCTAGATTTTAAAAAAATTGACGACTAAATAGTTATTGACCAGTACTGTAGGTGAATACTCCCAAAAGTCCTACCATCGTTTGCGCCACTGTACTCAGATTCGCATCCATTGACACCGAATGTGGAACATCGAATACGAGTTGTGGATTCTTCACAAAGTTCGTCCACATCCTCAAAACATATCCATTCGCTTTCCATTGTTGACATATATTCTCAGAGACTCCGTTGATGGAAGCTTCTCGATCCAGAATATCAAAAAAGAATTTGAGAATTGGTGGATAGGAAGAGTCATGCATGTAGAGAACGGATTCCAAGAAGTCTTCTACATAAGTTTCTACGGTTCCTTTACTGGTAAGAAGACGTGTCAAATAGACTTCAGGAATTGATTTTGGAATTTCCGAAGGAGAAGTTCTCTTCTTAAATGTCATAGTTCCAGATGAGGGATTCGTTAGGTGATAGTATTTTGAAGAAGAGTAGATTGGAGAGCACCGATCCAAAGAAGACCATGACGATTGACCAGAGTCTGCTAGGGAGTCTGAAAAACTAGGTTAGCTAGGAATTCGCTTTAGCTACTCACTCCTATAACTTTCCGCTGTATAAACCGCAGATGTCATTTCCAGAGTTGCACCATCCTGAATACCATAATCCGCCAGTGTCAATAACTTTACAGGAAGCTTCTTCTGAGATAAGGTCTCTACTGCTGACACATCCGTCAGCTTGATATCTCCTCGTTTTGCACATTTGAGTTCTGAAATGAGGTCAACTGAGATACCGTAAAACCTTTAATAGAAGAGCCCTGCCACTGTCAAGTTGGAGTTGATTTTTCTTGGTTCCTAAACAAGTTATAATAAAAGTTTCAACTGAAAAAAATGTTTGGTAGGTTGTGGTAATCAATTTTCCAGTTGACAACTTTTTTATCTCATTGTCCAAAACCGAGATATACTGCCCCAAACTTGACAGTGTGTGGCCCTTCAGGTTTTACAGTGTTTTAGAACTTACTGAGCTCAAACTGTGTTATTCTCGGTCTTTGTGAATATGGAGTCTCTTTGTAGACCGCCGATGCAACTTTCTGTTTCAACTGACAGATGGCGTCGCAGGCATGAACTTCTAGGTGAGTGGTCTCATCGCATTTTTCAAATGGGACAATGTGGATTTTCTGAAATTGTGAATAAAATCAGGATAGAACAATGACGTTACTCACCAAAGTTTTCGTCTCCACACTTTCCCTCAACAACTTTGCCTCATTGATCGTGTACCTCGCATCTCCAGTCACAGCATCCACTGGTCCCTTATCCGTCTGGTACTGCAGTGCTTTGTACAAGTAGAAGTACGAATTCATTTGAGGTGTCAAATGAGAGTACAGACAAATACTCATCCATTTCGAGAACATTTTTTCAACCACCGAGTCACTATTCCGGAAAAGAAGCTCGGCCCGTTTTGCTTGTACAGATCGTGCGATATGGGCTTTTAGAAGGTCCACGACTATTTCAGTGCAATAGGAAAAGTTTCGGAGTAAGACAGAAATCAGAAGAGAAGCTAATGTAGATTTCTCTGACGTGGAAATAGATACATCTGATTCTGCGGCTTCTACTATAGTGAATATGAAACCTTTGAAGCTAAGAAGAGCATGGAATTGAGCAAGCGTCACTGGAAGAGTTCTTGCTAGACTTGGAGCTGATGTCAGGTTCTGATCCGCCCATAACAGATTTTCCACGAAATGCGGGAAGTGTATAAGTTCTGGAGACGTGATGGTGCCAGTTGATTTTGGAGATAGCACAAGATTGGTTTGAAGTTCAGCGAATGCTTGTTTGCATTCTTTTCTTACATTGTTCTCCAAATTTTCCATCTGTAGCTGAATCTTCCGATACTCTTTCTCTCTTTCTTGACGGCGTCTCTTGAAGATCAAACACATCACAATAAGAGTGATGACAGTGAAGAGTAAGAGTCCAAGGATCAGGAATGATAGTCTTGATGGTAATGCGTGATCCGAGTACTCAATAAGACCCAATTCCATTCGAAGTGATCCAACGATAACTGTGACCAATGGGTTGTCTCCATTGATCGGAACGCCTCTCTCATCCGTTGGCTTTGGTTGTTTCAGTGGACCAGAGCATACCAGTTGCCTCACATCTACAAGTGTCACGTAGCATCTCTCACTTCCGACGAAAATCTTGAAGTCGTTGGGTTCAGCGGCAAGATTTAAATTGTGTCCTTCCAAAATTAATGATTGTTCTCCTTGATGGTATCGGATGCCTTTGAACGGAGAGAGACTGGGGTTCGGGTACACAGACATTTGAATTCGTCTTCCTAGATTCGCCACAGCAGTCACATTATCCATTAAAAATCCAACTGGTTGTCTGGTATACTCCACTCTTCTAGTGATGGTCTCCAAAATTTTTGGGGTCATACAAGTCATCAAAGTTGAATTGATAATGTGGCATGGTGCCAGATCGGAGATGATTTCAAATGGAGGTGTTGGAGACGAAATAAGGAACATTCTAGCAGATTGAACAGTGTTGAAGGAGGACCCTTGGACCGAGACGATTCGTCCTCCAGCTTTAAAAGAGGACAATGGGAAGATGGAGTTGACTGATGGATCCGATCGATATTCAAATGGCTGATCAAGCTGGATCTGGGAGTGATCCACGTGGACGACCACTTTTGCAGACTTTCCAATACTGGAACCAGAAGGAGTGAGACAAGTGAGAACTGTTGATGAGTTGATTCTTTCTATAGGACACGGAAGACCGCCAACAGTGACGCTTATCCGAGAACCACTCGACAAGTTCTGACCGTAAAGTGTGATTCGTGTTCCTCCAGAAATTGGACCGTATAATGGATAAGCAGAGAAGATGGAGACTCGAACAAATGAGAACAAATCTGAACTCTCTGCAACTGCCATCGTTGCGCGTCCGACTGATATTTTGATTGGTCCAGAGCTGACACCTTTGTCGACTTGACACGCTATCATATTGGAGACTTGATATTCCACAATGTTGCATCTGGAGCCAGCCACGTAGATCTTGCCACGTACGTCTTCTACAGACATTCCAAGATCGTTTCCATAGACTTTAATGACAGTTCCACCTTCGACAGGTCCACTTGATGGTTCGAACTGAAACAGAAAATTAGATTAAAGATCAAAGTGATAGTTGATGCATTAGAAGGGCACCTTTTATTGAAGGGTACTCCGGAGGTCTGCCTTGAAACAATAGAAGGGCCGACCCTCCTAGCCGGCCCTCCTAATACAGGTTTTACGGTACCTAACTTACCCTATCGATCTTCGGCGGATCACATACTGCGGTGGCTTTTGATTCGTGGCACTCATGAGAGCACTTCCTGTTGCACCAACCACATGACAATGATGGGGACAAAGCAAGACAGCTTGAGCAGTCGGCAGCCAAATTTGAGCAGGAGTAGAGGGATACTGAAACTTCTGATTTATAAAAGTTCTCAAAAAGAGACCCTAACCGTTCGCAATATCCACAACCACATCGTTGGCCATCAAACTCAATGGGACCACCATATTGGCATTTGTTTCATTGCTCCCTGCTAATTGAATCTTCCCACATCTGATACTATCACTTGCTATCTTCGCAGGAGCTACTTGTCCATTCACTTTACAAAAATGCTCTGTTTTTCTGTCGAGAGTGTCCAGATTCAAAGCTTCTAGCACAATTTCTTGTTGAGATCCGATTGCGATTGGAACTTTCATAGGCTGAATTTTGACACAAGCTTTGGCTGAAGCAGATCCACAAGACGAGGAGCATTTGTGAGAGCACCATTGGCATCCGAATTCCGATGACATACATGTGGAACAGGTACTGTAACCGGCGCAGTCGAAGACGGTAAAGTTGTGTCGGCTGATGGGATTTTTTGAAATCGACGTCATAAGAGAGATTTCGAATGTTTTTGGAGAACCAAACATTTCAGAAGGGCAAGAAATTCCAGATGCTGTCCAGGTGGCTTTTGTGGACTTTGAGTGAGACTTGGAGCCAAAATAACACTTATAAACGAAACCGACGGGTGGTGGGAGGTGATGGATGTTGAAGGAAATAGAGGTAGAAGAGTTCACAGATACCATTGAAGGAATGGGGTCACCATCGACGATAGGGCATTGGGTGGTCTGGAATATTGGGTGAATTGAGAAAACGAGAACTTCTTAAGTTTGAGATTTTAAGTAGAAAATGTTGGATTTATGATTTTAACTGCTCCAAAATAAGCCTCTCAATTTTCAGAGCGAAACTTTTAGATATTTGAGATTGTGAGCTTTTAAATGAGCTCAAACACGCTGCAAATCTGTTAACTTTGATTTTCACTTTAATCACGCGACGCACAACCGCGACGAACCGGAAAGTATAAATCTAACCGAATCACTTTGCGATTAGGCTCATTTTGAAGCTCTCAACCTGCTGAACTCAACTTTTTGAACGTTGAAAAGAATTTTTAGAAATTACTAAAAATTGACCCTTACCAATGGTCCAGAACATCTTGACGATGTTGTGCATGACTGTGTTGGGTGACACCATTGACAGAGAGGATCCACAGAAACTTGACAATCCGTGCATGACTCGTGATGAGCGCAGGTCGATAGCTCCTCCATGACAATCTAAATTAAAGATCATTATTATCTTGTTATCATGCTATCCTATTTTTACCCCATACGGCATTTGTACCAATATAAAATCTCCAAATCTGGTCATTTTGACAACTTCACTTCCCGTCCGCCCATCTCCAATTTCTTTTCTACCGTACTCCTCGAGTTTGTTGGAGTTTTGCTCGTCCCATTTTAACTGAAACTTTTTGATTTTAAACGAAACTTCTATAAAAATATGTAAAGGAATCCATCATTGTTACATGACCCTAAAAGTGTTTTCTCATGTAAGTCCTAGTATTATGAATTCCTATTTGATTGACATTCTTTTCTCAAATGAAGATTAGTGTGTTTGACAATGATGAATGAAAAAAAGAAATGTGGTTGAAATGTGAAAAACTGATTACTGTAAGACCTGTAATAGAAGGGCCTCTGACTATTAACTTTGAGCCACTGTATCTCGGTTCCTGTCAAAGATATAATAAAGTTATTAACTAATGAATTGTTACTCATAATATTAGAAGTGTTTTGTTAGTTGACATATTTTTGATGTCTTGTACAGGAACCTAGAAAAATTAGCTAAAACTTAACGGTATGGAAGTTAGGTCGGCGGTAGGCCGCCGTTGACCAATCGGACCTTACCGTAAATGCTCTAAAAGAAGCCCACCCTAATATGTGTACTTTGAGCTCAATTATCTCAATTTCTATAAGAGATAGAAAAAAGAGATCAACTGATAAAATAATTCTGATATTATAGTGAACATTTTGTTAATTGACTACTTTTCGGAATCTTATATAGGAAATGGGGGCTCTTGTCGGTTATTTTGGTCCTTAGAATTATTTTTGGTCCTTTAAATTATTTTTGGTCCTTAGAATTATTTTTGGTCCTTAAAATTATTTTTGGTCCTTAAACTTTTTTTGGTTATTCACAGTGCCTGTGACATTTTTTAATTTTTTTTATTATTTAGCGTTTTTATTTGCCTTGTTAATTGTTTACACTTTCATAATTCAGTCTGCCTTCAAATTATTTATTTGCAAATATGGAACAACTGATAACGAAGTTGGAAACTCGTCGCGGCAGTCTAGGAATACATTTTATTTAGTAACCTTAACTCTATTTCTAATTATCTAATCTTAACTCTATTTCCAAAAAAATCTAATCTTAACTATGTTTCTAATTATCATGGTCTTCCTCCACTTCTTCTTCCTCCTCTTCTTCTTAAGGACCAAAAATAATTTTAGGGACCAAAAATAATTTTAAAGACCAAAAATAATTCTAAGGACCAAAAATAATTCTAAGGACCAAAAATAATTCTAAGGACCAAAAATAATTCTAAGGACCAAAAATAATTCTAAGGACCAAAATAACCGACAAGAGCCGAAATGGGATATATCAGCTCTTTTGGTCAGCTGTAATTTCTCAGCTTCATATCATCCACTCACCATTACAATCTGTGATGAAGATGTTCCAGCAAACAACGCCTTCTGATCCACGGCCATGAGACTTGTCACTTTCGCCAAGACGTCTATCGTAGACATCTCAACCAGCTCAATAGATCCACCGACTCCCAGCTCGCAACTATCTTCGTCTAGTGGAATGTGGGCTTTCTAAGAAATTAAATGTTCAATCTCGTCTGTTATAGAACTTTTTACATTAACACATTTGGTGTCCCTGCCAATATGTGACAGTTTGATCGAGTCGGTTCCACTTCTACACCTATCCACATTGTACCAAAACGTCAACTTCACTTTTTGCATCGAAAACACGCAGATTGAGTTTTTCGAAGACGTTGGAGAAGCCGAAAATGATGCAATAAGCTTGTCACCAGTTTGAACGACAGCTGTGAGAAATGGGTAGTTCGTGTTGTCTTCTCCACGACACTGAAGCTCGATTTCCGAATATGACACGAATCTGGAAACTTTCGTTTATTTATAGATTCTGAATAATTAACTTACTTTGTATCATTTTTGCAGAATCTTATCAATCTAGTGGTCACTGGAAGTCTTGTTTCTCTTGGAGTAACGGTGGCAACCACAAAAATGAAATGCTGGTGAGAAAATGTTGTAACGAATCGAAAAGAGCTCCGATAGGCGGCTCTCAAGTAGACAGCAGCTTCTCCTTCCAAATCTCCCGCATTCTCCACATTCAATCCTGGCAAATTCGGATTGCAACCGCTGGAAATGGGTCTCGATACGGGGACTCTTTCGTTGGACTCGCTGCAACCACGAGCCGATTATCAATTATTTGAGACACTGTAGATGCGTCTGGAGAGTTTGCAGCAACTGGGGTACTGGCTTCAGTTATTAGAGAAAGTTTTGAATTGAATGTAGAGCAAGAGCCAAGCTTCACAGAACCGCATTGTAGGAGTTGGCCCGATGGAAGGATTTGTAGGATTTTCGTGTGAACATCGGTGGAGAATGGACGATTGTCTCTGAAAAAAGGTAATTGTTTGTTTCAAGGAAAATGGTGGAATAATACTTTAAACAAGATTTTCCATCTGCTGAGCACCATGGAGAATCTTGAACCGGGCCAATGGAGACTTCGTTTTGGATAGAAAGGTTGGAAGAGTGTAAGGAGGTGATTCGATTGATAGAGGCTATGTAGATCTGGAAACATTTCTTATCAGATAATTGGAATTAAAATATTGAAATTAAACTTTCAGAAGCCCTGCAGAATAGCCGCGTTTTTCCTGTTTTCATTGTTTTTTGTTACCGTATTTCCTCTAATAGAAGCATACCCAAACCGTCAACTTTAAGCTCAATTATCTCGATTCCTGTAAAAGCTATGAAAATGTTATCAACTGATAAATTGCTTCTCATAATATCACCAATATTTTATCAGTTAACAAAATTTTGATATCTTTCACAGAAATCGAGATCATTGAGCTCAAAGTTGACCGTGTGGAGGGCCCTTCTATTACAGGTTCTACGGTAAGTGTCAAGGTACTTGGAATATTCTGAAATTCTCGTTCCGATTTTCCAATTTTCAGATGTAGCTATCTTTTTCAGGAACAAAAGTATCTAGTCACGACAACATTGAATGATTCAATTTTAGTTTACCTAGCTGGAAATCCCGGCTATCACACCAAAAAACAAAAGTTTCATTTTCTCAAAAAAATCCAAACAGCTACCGTCTGTTGATCCCTTGAGACGATGAAGTCATCAATGTGTCCGGCGGAATGAAATACTTTTTGTTTGACGCCTCCTTCAAACGGCGTTGCCGCTTCAGCCGCCGACAAGCTGGTTAGGACAAGGAACGCCGATTCGATGAAGAGCATAATCGCATTTCTGGAAATTTCAGGTTAGTTGATGAAAATAGGAAAAAGAAGATCAAAACTTGAGGGCAGCACAGGGAAATTTGAGAAAAAATGATTTTAGTGAAGTCAACATAATCATCAATTTTTTAGATACACTGTCAACATTGAGCTAGTCTATTTGGGTTCCTGTTGGAGATATCAAAAAAGTATCAGCTGATAAACGATTTGTGATTTTTTGATAAACATTTTATTAGTTGACCACTTTTTGATATCTCCAACAGGAACTGAGTTAAATCAGCTCAAAGTTGAAAGGTAGGAGTGACGTTCTATAAGAGTGACAGGGACCAAGACGAAAGAAAATGAGAAATACGATACTACTGAATAATACAACAAAGAAAAGAACAAGAATATGTAACCCATAATTTTACAACCGCCAAAAAAGGGTTCTAACCGATTCGCATGGCCAACGATTCATGATTCGGTTCACCTTTTTTACTATTATTTGTAATTGATGATCATGAAAATGGTCAGTCAGAGAGAAAAGAGACCTTGTACAAAAAAGTATTGTACAATGGTATGGGGGTGGAGGATCCTTTTTGCAATTACACATTTCGAACAATTCGTTCACGTTTCAACTGATTTATAGGTTATGTGTTGGTTATGGGAGAGACAAATGGAGATTGACAAAAAAGAAACGAAGAATATGAAAAAGGCAAAATGTCTTGGGAAGGCTTTTGGTTTGTTCAGAATTTGTGGGTTAGAAGAATAAAAGAAATTTAGAAATTTGCACAAAAATTCTGATAGCGAGCGTGTGAAAATTTTCGGCACAGTTCGAGTAAACTCTCTGACCCCAAACAGTCAACGTTCTATTTTGAGCCAGTTTATCTCGGTTCCTGTTCATGATATAAAAAAGTTGTCAACTGATAAATTTTTCATCATAGAATCACAAACATCATATCAGTTGACACGTTTCTGATATCTTGCATAGGAACCTAGATATATGAGCTTAAAGTTGATGACTTCGAAAGGGGGGGGGGGGGGGTTATTTGCCGGGCCTTCGCAGGATCTGCCATAATTTCTTTTAGAATTAATATTTTTAGACCAACTAAATTAGATATGATAGAACTCAAAAAATACTACAAAATAATATTATTTGAAAAACAGAGTCTTTGATATGAACAAAGTTACAGACAAAAAACAGAAGACCGGCCGGCCCGGGCCGACGCTACATGGCCCGGCCACTTTATGATTTGTAATTTTGTTCATGGACAAGACATAGTTTTCCAAACAATATCATTTTGTAGAACTCGCCAAGTTCTATCATATTTAATGGAGTTGGTCTACAAATATTGTTTATGAAAGAAACTATGGCGAGGCCCGCGAAGGGCCCGGCAGAGTCCCGGTCGCAAGCATGAAGCGAACTAAATGTTTTGCAGTTCTTCTTTTGGTTCCAACAGAAAAACTGGCTCTAATACTGGACATATGAAAAAAGAAGGAAATGGAAATAAAAACTCCAAAAATGAGTAGTCCACTGTGTTTTTAAAAAAATGATGAAAAATGACATAAATGTAATCCCCAAATGGGTTCTCTAGTCTCTCTATCTGTCGTCCCGTCCCGGCAAATTCATACATGGGTACAAGGGAACATGAAACAACCAATGCAAAAAAAGATTTTTCAAAAAAAAAAAAGAAAAAAGACACAATGAAAATAGATGGATGGCATCGAGGAGGGCAGATACATGTCCTACAAGGGTGTTTGGGAAAAAAGCAAGGAGAAGAAAGATGAAATGAAAAATGGTGCAAGGCCTGGAAATTGGCAAAAAGGGAGGAGCTTTAGAGAAAAAACGTTTCTAGAGGGTTCACATATACAAAGCGTGCGGGTTAGTCCTTCTTAGCTTCGTTTTTTTTTACCATTTTCTTTCCCCGGTTACCATCACTCCTTATTTCTTCAAACCCTTCGAATAAACGAAATATATACAAAGCGTATAAAAAAACTAAACCTGGCCTACCCTAAAGCGCTCTCTAATAGAACGCCATCCGTACAACTTGGAACCCATGTATCTCATTTCCTGTAAAAGATATCAAAAAGTGGTCAACTACTAAAATGTTAGTGATGAAATGATGAACATTTTGTCAGTTGACTATTTTTATATAGATTTCACAGAAACCGAGGCTCAAACTTTATGACTCTTTAAAAGTAGAACACCACACAAGCCGCCAACTTGGAACTTTTGTATCTCATTCCCTGTAAAATATATCAAAAAGTAGTAAACTAAGAAAATAGTCATCATAATATTACCAATATTTTATCTGTTGAACACTTTTTGATATCTTTCACAGGAATCGAGATATAAGATAATTGAGGTCGAGGTCTACAGAAACTACAGTATGCAAATTTGTTTGTAGCTGTCTATAGTTATTAACTTTGAGCGACTATATCTCGATTCCTGTAGAAGATATCAAAAAGTAATCAACTAATAAAATGTTGCTGATATAATAACACACCTTTTGTCAGTTGACTACTTTTTGATATCTTTTGCAGGGAATGCGATAGATAAGCTCAAAGTTAACGGCCTGGGTGACATTCTATTAGAGTGTTCCGCAAATTCAAGGAAAATTACTGTTAAAATTATTATAATTTAATGAAAATCTTCAATTTTGGGAAATTTAAAAACCGATTTCCGTCAAGAATCTAAAAGTTCCTCTGCCAGTGGACCATCAAACACTTTACACCTGGTCGAGTGCAACTGTTTGATGGATCTGTTTTATATTTCGGGTGGGGAGGGTCCTTCTCCCAAAAATCCCATTAATCATTTTCTTTGACATAGTTCTCGGGTTGACTTTTCGCACAAATCGCTTTTCAATTAAAACTGCTCATTAAAAGCGTCTTTGAATGTTCATTAAGGAGAAAAGGGGGTAAGGAAAAAAGGTACACAGCGAGAAAACAGAGAGAAGCTAATGAACCAGCAGGTGATGATTGAAGGGGGATGGAGAACGGAAACGGGAGAAGAGGAAGAGGGTGTTAAAAACAAACATGGGTGGGTGTGTTGGGGTGACGAGATAAGGTCCCAGGTACAGCTAGGTACAGCTAATAGTAAGGAAAATTTCGAGAATCCAAAAAATGAGATTGAAATAGCCATTAAAGCAGCTATAACCTGTAAAAGAAGGGCTCGTTTAGATTGAGTTAGTTTTTCTTGGTTCACATGCAAGATATTAAAATTTTGTCAACTGATAAAACATTTGTGATAATATGATGAACAATTTATCATTTGACATCTTTTTGATATCTTTGACAGGAATTGAGATAAACTGATTCGAAGTTCAAAGTCAGGGCTCTTTTATTGGAGGTTTTTACAGTTTGTAGTGTTCTAGAAAAAATGGGCACAACGTCCGCCAAAAATAGTCAAGATAATAACTGACAGATTTTTAATTTTGATCTTGAAAAATCCAAAAATTTGCGAAGACTCTAGACATCACCCAACAGTTTATATAAACATCAAAATGTTTTCAATGTTTCAGTACTATTTGTATGTTATGCAATAGAAATGACTATTGTAACACTGTGTTTTGATGCTATACATATATGTGGTATAGGTGGTTTATGCAAATTAGCATATGTAATAAAAGTGATTGCTGCTAAATTTGAACAGACGAGAAGTGATCTGAGAACATACTGGTCAATAATAAAATATTTGAAAAGTGTAGTTTTCAGTTGATTTTGACCGTTTTCAGATGACTGGAGCTTTGACAAGTTTTCGATCACTTTGAAAATTTTAGGAGGGTGTAAAACAGATCTAGATTAAAAACTTTGCATTTCCAGAATTTTTTGAAAATTCCTACTTTTTTGCCGATTTCTAAAAGACACCCATTTTTCCCGTTTT